ACTTGAATCTAGGAGGCAAAGGTTGCAGTGAGCAGAGATCACCCCACTGCATTCTGGCCTAGGTGACAGAGCAAGACTCTATCTCAAAAAAAAAAAAAAAAAAAAAAAAAAAAAACACACCAATTCTCCAAGAAACCTTAATAATTATTGTGTTTGATAACACTTGGCTTAAAGGGTCCAGCTACAAACAATAACGTAAGTTTATAGCACCACTCTACTTAGCTGGATATTTTGAATTGTCAACTGCTTTGATATTTAGTTGAAGGGAAAATAGGTAAATTTCTACCTATAAATAAAAATAATTTTAAAGTGTTAAAGTTTATCTATATCTACACAGTTTTACTGAGGCATATTTTATGTATCCCAAAATTCATGTTTGTAACTACAGACATATCTCGGACGAATTACAAGTTCACTTCCAGATCTTGCAATAAAGCAAATATCAAAATAAAGCAAGTCACACGAATCTTTCTGTCTCCCATGGCATACAAAAGTTACTTTGCCCAGATCCACCATAGGAATCACTATGTATGGGACCTATGGCCTTACTAAATGTATTTCTGAAATAATAGGACTTCAAAGTCAAAATGGCTCCTTAATCTGTGGGTTGCAGAATGCCTGCTGTGTCAACAGGCATGAAAACATTAATCTCCTTATGCATCTCCATCAGAACTCTTGGGTAACTAGGTACATTGTCAATGAGCAATAATCTTTTGAAAGGAATCATTTGTCTGCGCAGTAGGTCTCAACGGTGGGCCTAAAATAGTGATAAACCATGTGGTAAACCTAAAACAGTGGTAAACCACACAATAAACAGATGTGTTGTCATCCAGGCTTTATTGTCCCATTTATACAGCACAGGCAGAAAATATTTAGCATAATTCTTAAGGGCCCTAGGATTTTTGGAACGGTAAATAAGCACTGGCTTCAACTTAAAGTCACCAGCTGCATTAACCCCTAAGAAGAGAGTCAGCTTGTCCTTTGAAGGTCTGAAGCAAGGTAACAACTTCTCCTCTCTAGTTATGAAAATCCTAGTTGGCAACTTCTTCTAATAGAAGGCTGTTTGATCTACTTTGGAAAGCTGTTATTCCTCAACATGAGCAAAGCAGAACAAAGAAGAAGAGGGAAAAAATGTAAATAAAATTTGTTGTTTAGTATATCTACCTTAATGGAATAAATACAACTCTAAATGAAAGAGGAAATCACAAACAAATTAGAAAATATTTTGGGCCAAGTGAGGTGGCTCACACCTGTAATCCCAGCACTTTGGGAGGGAGGGAGGATACTTGAGGCCAGGAGTTCAAGACCAGTCTGGGCAACATGTAGAAATCCTGTCTCTATTTTTTTTTAAAGAAAATATTTCGAACTAAATATATAAAAAACAAAAAGGTGGCCATAGTATGCAGTTAAAATTGTGCTGATGCTGAGAGAAGTTTCTAGATTTAACTGGGTATATCAGAAGAAAGGCTGAAAATTACGGAGTTAAGCATCTATGCAAGAAGACACAGGAAATTAAAATAAACTCAAATTAAGTTGAAGGAAGGCAATAAAGAGCAGAAATGAATGAATCAGAAATAGTAGGAAAAAAAAAAAAATCAGCAAAGCCAGAGCTAAGTTCTTGGTAAAAACTAGTAAGATTGACAAATCCCTAAGGAATTTGATGAAGGAAAAAAAAAGTAGGCAATGTTAGAAATTAAAAAGTGGATATTTCAATTAATTCTGCAAATATTAATGAGGTAATAAAAGGATTTTATGAATACTTTATGTCAATAAATTTGAAAATTTTGATGAAATAAATTTTTAGAAAAATACAACTTACCAAATTCCAACATAAGAAGAAACAAAAAAAATTTTTTTTTTCTTTTTTTGAGACGGAGTCTTGCTCTGTCATCCAGGCTGGAGTGCAGTGGTGAGATATCGGCTCACTGCAACCTTTGCCTCCCATGTTCCAGTGACTCTCCTACCTCAACCTCCAGAATAGCTGGGAACACAGGCATGTACCACCACACCCAGTTAATTTTTTTTTTTTTTTTTTTGTATTTTTAGCAGAGACGGGATTTCACCATGTTAGCCAGTAAGGTCTCGATCTCCTGACCTCACGATCTGCCCACCTCAACTTCCCAAAGTGCTGGGATTACAAGCGTGAGCCACCACACCCAATGGGAAACAAAAAATTTCAATAGTTATGATATGCTTAAAAACTGAATTTGTAATTAAATTATTAAAAAAACAAATTTGTAACTCAAAGTCTCACAAAACTGAAGAATCATATGGCTTTAATCACAAATTTTACTAATTTAAGGCAGAAATAATTCTAATTTTATATAAATTATTCCAGAGAATAAATAAACATGGACCACTCTTTAACTCATTTATAAATCCAGGGCAAGGCGCATGTTTGCTCATATCTGTAATCCCAGCACTTCGGGAGGCTGAGGTAGGCAGATTGCTTGGGACTAGGAGGCGGAGGTTGCAGTGGGCCAAGATAGAACCACTGCACTCCAGCCTGGGCATGAGAGAAAGACCTTGTCTTTGTTTTTTTCTTTTCTTTCTTTCTTTCCTTTTTTTTTTTTTAAATGAGACAGAGTCTCACTCTGTGGCCCAGGCTGGAGTGTAATGGCTTGATCTCAGCTCACTGAAACCTCTGCCTCCTGGGTTCAAGCAATTCTCCTGCCTCAGCCTCCTGAAAAGTAGAAGACTCTGTCTTAAAAAGAAAAAAAAATCCAGAAATAAAGGAAAGGTACAGATAAAAAACATAAAGAAAGCAAAGAAATGAACATAATTAATAAATAAGAATAGTGGGTACCTTCAGATAAGAAGGAAGAGGTTGTAATGGGAAAGGGCAGTCAGGTAGGCATCTGTGAATTGACAATGTTCTGTTTCTGGACCTCGGTAGTTTTCAAGCATTTACTTTGTAATAAATCATTAAGATGCACATTTTGTTTTATACACCTTCTTGCATGTGTAGAAGAATTCATAATAAAAAGTTTACAGTACTTGCCCCATATCCTTAGGACATATATTTTAAGACTCCCAGTGGGGCTGGGTGCAGTGGCTCACGCCTGTAATCCCAGCATTTTGGGAGACCGAGGCGGGCGGATCACAACGTCAGGAGTTCGAGACCAGTCTGATCAACATGGTGAAACCCCGTCTCTACTAAAAATACAAAAATTAGCCAGGCATGGTGACTTGCACCTGTAATCCCAGCTACTCAGGAGGCTGAGGCAGGAGAATGGCTTGAACCTGGGAGGTCGAGGTTGCAGTGAGTCGAGACTGCACCATTGCACTCCAGCCTGGGTGACAGCGAGACTCCGTCTCAAAAAAAAGAAGAAAAAAAAAGACTCCCAGTGGATATCTGAAACCACAAATAGGACCAAACCCTTATATACACCATGATTTTTCCTCCAAATATATACCCATGATAGAATTTATAATTTAGGCACAGTAAGAAACTAATAACCAACAACCAATAATAAAATACAACCATTATAATAATATGCCAATCTTGCATTTGGGGTCACTAATAAGTAAAATAAAGGTTACGTGAACACAAGCACTATGATACCATGACAGTCAATCTGAGAACTGAGTTGGCTACTAAGAGCGACTAACGGGTGGGTAGCATAGACAGTGTGGATATGCTGGACAAGGGGATGAGTCATTTACTAGGTTGGATGGAGGGGGATGGTGTAAGAGTTCATCAAGCTACTCAGAACAACATGCAAGTTAAAACTTACGAATTACTTCCGGAATACTCCATTTAATATCTTCAGACAGAGGCTGATTATGGATAACTGAAATCATGGAATGTGAAACTTCAGTCTTTAAATGTATGGAACCAGCGTCACTTAATGAGAGAATGGTATAAATATTTGTACCATTCTTTCTTGGACTTAAGTACTTTTCTTAACCATATCTCTAACAGGCTTACAATATCCTTTTCTTGGAAATCATCTTTTAGCAATTCATCTCTTTACTATAGCTCTTCATTCCAGCTTCCACTTTCTATTAACGCCCTTTACACTGGAGTCAATGGCTATAATTACATTTCACAGTAAGGGCATCTATTCTTGAATAGTCTATACTTCCTAACGTGGGGCATTGTTTGTAAAATCCCCCTCTTTTTTATTCTTGAGATGGGGTTTGACTCTGTCATCTAGGCTTCAGTACAGTGGCATGATTGCAGCTCACTGCAGTCTTGACCTCCTGAACTCAAGCGATCTTCCCCGCTTGGCCTCCCAAGTAGCTGAGACAACAGGATTCATCATCATGTCCAGATTATTTTTGTATTTTTTGCAGAAATGAGGTCTCACTACGTTGCCCAGGCTAATCCCAAACTCCTGGGCTCAAGTAATCCTCCCACCTCGGCCTTCAAAAGTCTTGGGGTTACAGGCATGAACTACTGTGTCCACCCAAAATCCTAAATTTTACTTTGTGTTATAACACTCAAAGATTAAGCAATAATTTGTATGACTGCAAGGTATACAATATAAAGACAAAGCAAGTATATACATTCATCATCTGGGACTAAATAAGCATCAGCCAGTTTGGGAATTTCCACATCTGCTTCCTATCATTGATTATTTTAATCTATTTGTCTTTAGTTTTTGTCTACCCAACTGTAGTTCAAAAGCTAGGCATCTGTGTAGAAAAAGCTTTCAAAGTAACAGGAAATTTGATTTAGTGATATGAAATATGAATAATCTTTTAAGACCAAGCCGTTATTTCTTCTCTGTAACTATACTAAAAGAACAGCTAAGCGAACACAGTTCAAATTATATTTTGATAGTCATTACAAAGCATATAGCTAACTATTACTCCTTTCCACCTTTCTAAATGCCTAAATGTTTCAACATCCCCTTTAAAGTGAATAATAAGCATTGAAATACAGCAGAATAAAACAATTCCACACCAAATAATGGTGACCCAGACTTTGGTCTACATGGTCATCAATTGATAAACTTAAATAAAGGTAGTATTTTCATAATAAAATTTCTCACTTTTGGAACATGAGGATTAAATTCCACAGCTCTATGAATTGCTTCCACGGCATTAATTTCTGCTGTGCTTAACCCTCTTTTGGAGGCTGTTTCTGGAGAGAATCTACAAGAAAACCACAAAATGAAAAAATAAATATGCTAAAAAAAAAAAAGAAAGTATGGATTTAGATAATAATACAGCCCCTTAAATCAAAGGAGTTTCTGGAGATGGCCGAAAACAAAGCCAGAGGACTACCAAAATAAATAAATAAAGCCTTGTGGTTCAACATGTAAAAAACAAAGCAGCATAAGGAATGAAAATCTTCAAACTTAGGTAAAGAAGACCTTCAGGAGAAGTCCACTGAAGGTACACTTTAGAAAAGGTAACCAAGTAATAAATGCTACACAGGGATATCCAAATAATCTCATGAAATAGCAGTACATTCTTATCAAATTCTTATCTGAGAGGAAACAAACTGAAAATTCCATTCTAATTCATATCAAAGCATAAAAATCTAAGGTGAAAGAAAATAATCGCCATTTGGTTGATTTCTGAGTATCTTATCTGCACAATAAAGAGAATTCATTAAAAGTAGCCAAAAACACAAGAAAAGCAGCAGAACTCAGAATTATTCTCTAAGAAGAAATAACATATGCCTATTTCCCTACATACTTCATCATCATCATCATTGTTACCATTTATTGTGTGTGCCTTCTTTCTAGATATTGCTTTTGGCACTTACCACACATAATCCTCCTCAACCCTCCTGTGGTATTATTCTCATTTTACAGATGAAGGAGAAACTCAAAATGATCAACCTGCCTACAGTTCTATAGCTAGAATGTGGTAGAGTTTGAATTTGAGCTCAGGTTAGCTCTAAAAACTTTGCTCTTTCCACTACTACACAGGGCTTATAAGTCTATAAGCCCTAAAAGATCCAGGGCTATTCAAGAGGAAGTAGAGTGGAAAACAGCATTGTTTAAAGTCAGTAGAGGACAAACCTATTGAGTTTAGCAGTCTTTCCAAATTACTGTGGTTTTTATAGCACTTACTTATCTGAAACTGTCCTTGTCTTCAGCAGTGCTGCTGTGTAACAGATTGCTGCTGACTTTGGAAGGCTTATATCTGTAATGATTATTCAATACAGGTAGGAATTACAAAAAATGTACTGAGACAATTTCTTAATAAGAATAGTTCACAATGCAAATTCAATAGATATATAGGAAAAACCTGGACATTATATTGAAAAATGTATAATATAGTAAGAAAAACCCAGATATGAAGTTGAAAAAGCTGAGTCTGAATCTTGATCTTATTATTTACCAGCTAAGAATCTTGGAGCTAGTAGCAACTTGTTTGACCTCAGTTTTCTCTTCTCAAAATAATGATGCTTTTCTGACTGAGATGAAATTATGTCTATGAAAGCCCTCTGCACAATGGGTGAAATGTACTCAACAAATATTTATAATAACCTGCTTATAAGTTCAGGGAAAAATGAATAGTATAATTAAAACTATGTAAAACTTTCATCCATTCATAGAGAAAAACAAAAATTAGAAAAAAAAATTAAAATATTTAACAGTAGTTAAATCCAAGTTGATTCAACCAAGCATGATTTTTTTTCTTCTTCCTAGATTTCTGTATTTTCTTAAATTACTATTTTTTAGAAAATAAAAAATTCATCTGGAACTATAGGTAAATTAATTACATAAATCATTTTTAAAAGAATGTCCAAAATAACGCTTTCAGAAGAGTAAGACTGAAGAACTCTGTTGATATTTTTGATTCCAGAATCATACTAGCAAATGGAGAACTGAGAAAGTAAATTTGCTTTCAATTTCCTCAGGATTCCAGCATGAAAAGCTGGGACTTATGAAAATACAGAAGCATATCAACTTAGATATGCTTTATCAGTTTTAGTTTTATTTTATTTTTAATGAATCAGATTCTATTTTAATTTCTTGTATTCAGTCCCTAAGCTTGGTTCATCATAAGTATTGCAAGCAGGCCATGTATCCAGTAAATTACATATGGAAAGAATTTCTCACAAATTTCTCCATGAGCCTACACTATTCTGAAGCATTGCTTAAGAATTCCAGATGTTTAAAAGAAATAAACTTCTCTTTCCAAGTATAACACATTTCAAACTTCCCAAGTCATGGGGATTCCCAAGCGAATGGGTAGAAACCTATAACAGGACAAATGTGAATAAATGACTTTTTTTTTTTTTTTTTTTGAGATATGGTCTCTCTCTGTCACCCAGGCTGAAGTACAGTGGCGTAATCTTGGCTCACTGCAATCTCCACCTCAGCCTCCTGAGCAGCTGGTACTACAGGTGCATGCCACCACGCCCAGCTAATTTTTAATAATATTTTTTGTAGAAATGGTGTTTTACTATGTTGCCCAAGCTGGTTTTGAACTTCTGAGCTCAAGAGATCCACCCTCCTCGGCCTCCCAAAGTGCTGGAATTACAGGTGTGAGCTGCTGTGCCCAGCCTCCAATAAGTGACTTACATGTGTTCTGTTAAAGTAAAAGATAGGACCAGAGGCCAGGTGCAGTGGGTCATGCCTGTAATCCCAGCACTTTGGGAGGCCGAGGCGGGCAGATCACCTGAGGTCAGGAGTTTGAGACCAGCCTGACCAACATGGAGAAACCCTGTCTCTACTAAAAATACAAAATCAGCCAGGTGTGGTGGTACATGCCTACAATCCCAGCTACTGGGGAGGCTAAGGCAGGAGAATTGCTTGAACCCAGGAGGCGGAGGTTGCAGTGAGCCAAAATTGTGCCATTGCCCTTCAGCCTGGGCAGCAAGAGCGAAAGTCCAAGACAAAAAAAAAAAAAAAAAGATATGACCAGAAGCATAGAAATGCCAAAATTTCAGCTTGAGATTAAAAGCTGATTCCTCTCTCAGGATGAGAAGAAAGGCTTTGTCTTTAAAATTCTCCAAACTTCATGTGTGGTAAACTGCTATTATTATAACATAATAACAAAAATAACCAATATATATTGAATTGTTACCTTGGGAAGACAAGTGAACAAAGAAATCAAACACCTGGATTTGCCTTTTACTGGCTGGGAGAACTTACCCCAATACTTCAACCTTCTTAAACTCCAGTTTCCCTATTTAGTGATTAGAGACAGTAAAAATACTTGTCTTACCACATCACAAGACTATTATAAGTATCAAATTATCATTGCATTTTGTAACTAACAAGCATTGTAAAAATGTTATTCTGAATTACTCTTATAGTAAATGCCACTAAGCAACTTCTGTTAGCCTTGCTTGACACTCCAAAACAAATGAAGTAGCCCCACTATGTGCATAACACCCGTGCTTTTCCAGTTATCTCACCACACACTCGGTCTTCAATGTAACTGCTGCTTGTTTGTTTGTATTGTCCACTAAACTGTAAATCCTATGAGGGCTTCCCTTCTTTTTTTTTGAGACAGTCTCTTCCCTCTGTTGCATAGACTGGTCTACAGTGGTGCAATCACAGCTCAGTTTACTCTTCCACTAAACTGTAAATCCAATGAGGCCTCCCTTCTTCTTCTTCTTTTTTTTTTTTTTTTTGAGATAGTCTTCTTCCCTCTGTTGCCTAGGCTGGACTATAGTGGCACAATCACAGCTCTCTATAGCCTGAACCTCCTAGGTTCAAGTGATCCTCTCACCTTAGCCTCCTAAGAGGCTGGAACTACAGGTGCACAACACTATGCCCCGCTAACTTTTTTTTGTAGAGACAGGGTCTCGCCATGTTGCCCATGCCAGTCTCCAACTCCTGGGCTCAGGTGATCCTCCCGCCTCAGCCTCCCAAAGTGCTGGGATTACAGGTGTGAGTCACCACTCCCAGCCTCCCATGTTGTCTTGTTCACTATCATATTCTGAATGCCTCACTCATATTAGGCACTCAATCAACAAACAAGTAAATCTTGACAGAAGAAAAGTTCTTCCTTGCAGTCTTTTGCTAATAAAAGTCCTGATAAAGAAGATACATAATAGCAAACTCAGCGTATGCTAAATATTGACTGGTAAAATAGAGAAAATTAGATAAATACTAGAGTATAACCATATTTATGATTACATCATCGGAAAAGAGTAACAATGCTGTCACTAAGGGAACATGACTCACCATCATATTTTGCTAGGACTGCCTGAACATCCGCATAGGCCTGTAATTCTAAAAGTGATTCTAAGAGATTTTCATGGATGTTCAACACGGTAAGAGGAGGAAATTCTTTCATCAACTGTATATTAAAAGGAAAAAAAGATTAAAGTCATAACAAAGGAACTCAATAGAGCTGAGCCAGATTCATTAAAGTAGAAATTCTTGTTTCTTAACATAGCTATGAAGCAGACCTAACCCTTAGGAAAGGTACATATATTAAATAAACATCTTGTTCTAAAAACTACCAATTAAAAAACAGTGACTCTGCATTAAAATAACTGGCGACTTAACTATATTTTAGTTTGTGGAGGAATAAATATAATAGTCCCACCATCAATTTACTTACATCTCGCATTACTTTTACTGCTTCTCTTATTCTTCCTAATTTTCTTGCACACATTGCCAATCTTCTTTTAATATATACCAGTACATTGGTATCTCTCCCTATTTAGAATAAAAAAAATAACAACTATCACTTTTGTAGTGTGGGCTGCTATTTCATTAACATATCCACTTCTGTTATTTGCTTCCCTTGGAAGATTCAATTAAAATTAAATTGTGTCAGAATGGAAGAATACTAATTATGGCTACATTTGGATGATGACTATCGAACAGGAATGTTCTCTATTTTTGTGCGTGTTTTAAGTTTTCTGCATTAAAACTTAAAATACACATTTAATTATTTTTGCCTCTCATGGTAACCTAACTATAGTATATATAATTTGTATATGATTGATAAGTTTATTTTAACATTAACAGAAAAGAAATACATACATTAAAAGGAAGATACAACATTAACCTAGTATTTTAAGTTAGTGCATAAATGTACTATTACTCTGATATTCTCTATTGTTTTAATTGAAAAACATAAAATGTCCAAAACAAAGTTTCCATGGCTAATGTAAACTTTTCTTAACAGTAACTGACAAACTATAAAACTACTTCTAGAAAGAGCTAACAAACATTTCTGTAACTATCTCATAACCATATTTGAGATTATACAAAGACAAATGGCATGACTTTTTTTACAGATGTAGTTTCATTAGTTCCAGGCTACATAATTATATATTTCCCACAAATCTGTGTTATAAAAATGTGCATCAATGAAACATACCTTATATATCTGTATTTAGCTTAGGGAGAAAAACATTCTCCAAATTTTAATTTACAAACAAAAAAAGATTTAGAACTTAACTGCTAGTGGATAATACATTATATAAACATATTTCAATTTATTTCCCACTTCACTATTTGCCAAAATCATGAAACCAAAACCCTCTGGCCATAAAAATAGCAGGAAGCAGCATCATTGATGATTCTAACATCTTTGGTTAAAAAAAAAATCTCAATCATAATTGGTAAAGCATATCTAAGAATCAAAAAGCCTTCTGTTGCTATGGTTCATCTGATCTCAAGCACATCTGGAGAAAAACCAGCCAAAGAAAGAATCAGTGCCAAGTATGATGCTGGATTTAGGGCTAAGAATCAGATGGTGTGAAAGGAGCCACTCCCCAGCACTATATGCAGATACACAGTCTGAAGAGCAAACCAAATAATGTACCTTTACTCTTGCTTAGAGTAAGGGTGAGGATAAAGATTATAGCTGCTTATTATCACTAGAAGCCTCTCCTGAATGCTGAAAGTTTTTGAGTTATGTTTTTTCAATGAACAGTCCAATTCTCACATGAAATAAATTACAGTTAAGTCTCAGAGCAGCACGTCTTCTCTCAATAACCTGAGCAGATCTGTTCCCTTCCCTAAGCTTTCTCTGGCTAATACACATTTCTGTCTTGCTGACTTGTTGGTATCATGAATAGATTAGTTATTTCCAGTGAAAATTAACTAACCTGTAAGTATTAAGTTTTTTATTATTGTTGTTTTGTGTTAAGACACAAGCAAATTTGAGGAGCTAAAAGACAATAATAAACAGTTCAAACGTGCTTACTCAGTTGAGCTTCATGCTGAGGACTTTGGTGCTGGCATTGCTGTGACTGCCTATAAATTGTTTCTCCTGCCTTGAGTGCCTGTTTAAATAACCTTTCAGCATCTACAATAGTTGTTGCTTCTTCCTCAGCCAGTAGAACGTATGCAGTGGCACAGCTATGAAGAAAGCGGGAAGGCAATTTTAAATAAAATGATACAGCAAGTATTTTCTCTTGGTTATGTCCCTTTGCTCTACATCATATTTCCTTTCCTATACTTTTTTCACCTTTTGAAGAAAAAAAAAAAACTTCATTCAATATTTTACTTTAATAGGGACATATTGGTATATTCTTTAATAGGGACATATTGGTATATTCATAAAGAAAAATTCCATAATTTTTCTGCTCTCTTATCTTTCCCTTCTGCTCTTTATCTCGTCCTTTTAAATAAAAAATGTATGTCTCATTCTCTAACCCATTGTCCTGCGTTTTCTTTTTGTGAAAGGGGGGAGAAAAAAAAGATATATATAAAGAATTATCTGAATTGTCACTCAGAAGACTATACCCTCTAGTGGTGATATCTCCTTTTTTTTGAGACAGTTTCACTCTTGTCACCTAGGCTGGAGTGCAATGGCCTGATCTCGGCTCACTGCAACCTCTGTCTTCCAGGGTTCAAGCAATTTTCCTGCCTCAGTTCCTGAGTAGCTGGGATTACAGGAATGCGACACTATGACCAGCTAATTTTTGTATTTTTAGTTAAAATGGGTTTTCACCATGTCAGCCACGCTCGTCTGAAACTTCTGACCTCATTTGATCCACCTGCCTCAATCTTCCAAAGTGCTGGGATTACAGGAGTGAGCCACTGTGCCCGGCCGGTCATACCTGATTTAGTCGCCATATACTTTATGATATCCATTTCACGGGGCAGGTATAGGGAGGGTGAAGATTGGAAGACAGTCCTTTGGCCAACTAGGCACGTTTAACTCAGAAACATATTCCAGGACTAGACATTTCCCCCAAATTTGAGCATGCCCCTCTGCATTCTGTCCCATCCTCCCATGGACTTATCCACAATATTATTCAGTATAATTTCCCTTGTTCTAAATTCAAGTCCTTCCTCCCATATTCCTACTCTCATTCATTCCTCACAACAATGCTTATGCCAAGTTTTCTTTTCTTCACCCCACTAAAAAAAACACAGAGGCTTTTCTTTGTATCTTTTTTTTTTTTTAAATGGAGTCTCACTCTGTTGCCCAGACTGGAGTGCAATGTTGCAATCTCGGCTCAGGGCAACCTCTGCCTCCTGGGTTCAAGCTATTCTCCTGCCTCAGCCTCCTGAGTAGGTGGGATTATAGGCACACGTCACTTCGCCCAGCTAATTTTTGTATTTTTTTAGTAGAGACAGGGTTTCACCATGTTGGTCAGGCTGGTCTCAAACTTCTGACCACATGATCTACCCACCTTGGCCTCCCAAAGTCCTGGGATACAGGCATGAGCCACCCTACTCAGGCTTTTGTATCTTTTAAGTCAACACCTGGCTAATAAACAAATTCTTGTTTTGGGGCCACAAAGAGAAACAAAACGTTATTCCACTCCCAGAAATAACAAGCCCATCTCTTCTAGAGACAATGTCTTAGTTGTAATTATCTAAGCCTGCACTGTCCAGTATTCTAGGCATTAGCCATATGTGGTTATCGAGAACTTTAAATATGACGAGTTGGAATTGAGATGTGATGCAAGTGTAAAAACACACTGAATTTTGAAGACTTAGAGAATGTAAAGTTCCTCATTAACAGATTTTAGAAAAGCATTGACTATATGTTAACATATTTTAGGCCGGGCACGGTGGCTCACGAGGTCAGGAGATCAAGACCATCCTGGCCAACATGGTGAAACCCTGTCTCTATTAAAAATACAAAAATTAGCTGGGTGTGGTAGCGCACCTGTAGTTCCAGCTACTCAGGAGGCTGAGGCAGGAGAATCCCTTGAACTCAAGAGGTGGAGGCTGCAGTGAGCGGAGATCACACAACTGTCCAGCCTGGCAATAGAGTGAGACTCCATCTCAAAAAATAAAAAAATAAATAATAAAAAAATGAGTATTTCAATATTTTAAATACAGCTAAATAAAACATTATACAGATTAATTTCACCTATTTCTTTTTACTTTTTAAATGTGGATACTAGAAAATGTAAAGTTACATATGTGGCATTGTATTTCTAATAATTAGTGCTTATCTAAGCAAGAGGAGAGAAATTATTGATAAACATAGAAAATTAAGCATTAAACAAAAGTGATAGCAGGTAGAAATCATTAAGTGGAGACAAAAAATGTTCTTCAGATATGGAAAATGCAAATCATATCATTTCATCATCTTCAAATAGGAAGACCCTATTAGTACATAATAATTTCACGAATCAACAAAGATTTCTCCATTTCATTACACTAGATCCCTGTGAAGCGTTAGATATACTATTGCTTTAAACACTGGCTTTCCTGCCTAGGCGCAGTGGCTCATGCCTGTAATCTTAGCACTTTGGGAGGCCAAGGCAGGAGGATCACTTGAGGCCAGTAGTTCGAGACTAGCCTGGGCAACAAAATGAGACCCTTCCTCTACAAAAAGAAAAATAAAGATTTAAAAATTAACTGGGTGTAGTGGTTTGCACCTGTAGTCCTAGCTACTTCCCAGGCTAAAGCAAGAGGACTGCTTAAGCCTAGGGGTTTGAGGTTACAATGAAGCTATCATCTTACCACCGCACTCCAGCCTGGGCAACAGAGCAAGATGCTGTCTCCAAACAAAAACACTAGGATTCCTTACTGCCATTCCAAAAACCAAGTGAAATGTGATAAAAACCCTTTTTTTGATGCCCCTAGAGGCATTACAGATGTGGCTGCTGTCACATATGTGTCACTAGGTGGCAGAGATTAGAGAGGTTATGTCTACATTCAGCATTCTGCCCTGTGAACGTTTGAATTTTTCATAGTCTAGCACTCCTCATCTGTAGACTGGGCATCTGTTTTCCTTCACTGGCATCTGGGAGAGGCCTGGCCTTGAAGGTGGTGACTTAGCCTGTAATGGACTTCCAGCATGAGCAATGGCCAGAGTGACCAGGACAACTGGCCCCAGCCCAGATCAAGATGCAGAGGCCAGGATGTGGGCCCGGCCCTGTGCCAGGAGGCTGGCTGGAATAGAGGGATGGGCAGGCTGGCATCAGGACGCCCACTGCCTCTGCCTGGGTAGTGCTGTGTGTTCCAGCCGGCCAGGGGCAGCTGCTGGGACCATCCCTCCATTTTAGTATCTCGATTCTTAAGTTCTGCCATTGTGGTATTCTGGTGGAAAAAAAGAACCGTTTGGCTGTTTTTGAGCTAACTGGAACCTAAGATCCTGAGTTATTATTATTTGTTTTTACTGCATTTGAGATATCTTGTTTTTATGTTTTTTCCCTAAGGGGGAAAAAATCTATATGAAGAAAACATTTTAAAATACAGGATGAAGTGAGGAAAAAAAAATACTTTTTCTAAATGACTGTATGGCTGTATGGTAAAAAGATTTTTTCTCCCTTAATGCTTTCTTGCATTTGTTCAAAAGTATTTTATATGGATATTAATTCAGGAAATTAATTATGTGAATACCTAATTAATCTTACTTTGAAGAATGTTGGTTTTTTTAAATTAAGGTAAAATTCACATAAGGTTCACAGTTTAAAGCATTTTAAAGTATACAATTCAATAATTTTTAATACATTCACAAAGTTATGTATCGCCACAGTGTAATTCCAGAACATTTTCATCATCTCCACAAGAAACCCCGTATCTATAAAGAAGTCACTCCCTCTCTCCCTTGCCTCCTCAATCTCTGGCAATCTCAAATCTATTTCTGCCTCTTGACAGTGTCCTTTGATGCACAAAAGATTTTAATTTTGATAAAGTCCATTTATCTAATTTTTCTTTTGCTGCTTGTACTTTTGGTATTATAATCTATGAGACCACTTTGAAATTCAAAGTGATGATTTGTCCCTATGCTTTCTTCTAAGAGTTCTGTAGTTTTAACCCTTCCATTTACTCCTTGATTGATTTTTAAATTAATTGGGACATATGGTATGAGGTAAGAGACCACCTTTATGCTTTTATATATGTGGCTATCCAGTTGTTCCACCATCTTGTTAAACAGACTATTCTTTCCTCCATTGAATGGTTTTGACACTCTTGTCAAAGATCATGGCCAGGTGTGGTGGCACACACCTGTAATCTCAGCACTTTGGGAGGGCAAGGCAGGTGATCACTTGCGGTCGGGAGTTCAAGACCAGCCTGATCAACATGGAGAAACCCTGTCTCAACTAAAAATACAAAATAGCCGGGCATGGTGGCACATGCCTGTAATCCCAGCTACTCAGGAGGCTGAGGCAGGAGAATCACCTGAACCCAGAAAGTGGAGGTTGCAGTGAGCCAAGATCATGCCATTGCACTTCAGCCTAGGCAAAAACAGCATAACTCCATCTTAAAAAAAAAAAAAAAAAAAAATCAACCGACCACAGATATATGGGTTTATTTCTGGAATCTCAATTTAAATCCATTGATCTAGGTGTCTATCCTTATGATTTAACTACTGTAGCTTAGCAGTAAGTTTTAAAATCAGGTAGTGTGTCTTCCAATGCTGTGCTTCTATTTCAAGACTGTTTTGGTATTGAGGGCCTCTTGCAGTTCTATATGAATTATAGGGTCACCTTGTCCATTTCTGCAGAAATAGTAATTAGAATTTTTATAGGGATTGCACTGAATCTGTAGATCAATTTAGGGAGTACTGCTATTCTAACAATGTCTTCCAATCCATGAACATAGGTGTCTTTTCATTTATTTATTTAACTTATGCTTTATAGTTTTTAGTGTCCAAGTTGTGCACCTCCTTAATTAAATTTATTCCAAAGTATTTAAATATTTCCAGTGCCTTTGTAAATGGAATTGTTTTCTTAATTTCCTTTTCATTGTTCATAGCTAGGATATAGACATCCAACTGATTTTCATACATTGATTTTGTTTCTTACAATTTTGTCAACTCTTTCATTAGCTCTAGGTTTTTTTTCTTTTTTTGTGGATTAAGGTTTTCTACAAATAAAATCATGCCATCTGTGTTTGAAGATAGTTTTACTTTTTCCTTTCCAATTTAAACGCCATGTAAAAATTTGTCTTGCTTAACTGCACTGACTAGAACCTCCAGTATACCATGTAACACAGAGGTGCAAGTGTAGACATCCTGTCTTCTTCCTGACTATGGAGGGAAACCTTTCAGTCTTTCATCAGTAAGTATGTATTTAAAATGAATTTTTCAGATGTTCTTGTGGAATTTCCTTCCATTCCTAGTTTTTTAGTATTTTCATCATAAAATGGTGTTGGATTTTGTCAGATCTTTTTTTCATCAATTGAGATGATCATGTAGCTCTTGTCCTTTGGTCTATTAATGTGGAGTATTACATTAATTGATTTCCATTTATTTATCAAGATTGGGAATTTTGTCAAATGCTTTTTCTACATCAGTTGAGATAATCATGTGATTTCTTGCTTCATTCTGTTCATATAGTGTGCTACGTTGACTGATTTTCAAATGTTTAACCATTCTTGCATCCAGGAATAAATGCTGCTTGTTCAAGGTGTGTAACATTTTTAAATATGCTGCTGTAATTGGTGTACTATTATTTTGTTTTCAGCTATTATTTCTTCAAATATTCTTTCTGCCCTTTTCTCTCTCTCTTTTTTGGGACTCCTATAATGCATAGATTGGTATGCTTGATAGCATCCTACAGTTCTCTTAGGTGATATTTCTTTATTCCTTAATTTTTTTCCTGCTCCTTGAATTGAGTAATCTCAATTGACTTAAATGAAATTCTCTGGTTCTTGCTTCTGTTAGCGCAAACCTGCTTGCTGCTGAACGCCTATGGTATATTTTTCATTTTAGTTAAGCCTTTTAATTCTGAAATTTCTATTTGGGTCCTTTTTATTATTTCTTCCTCTTTACTGATATTCTCTAATTGTGAGATATCATTGTCATGGTTTCCTTTACCTCCTTGAGCACATTTAAAATAGCTGATTTAAACTTTTTGTCTATTAAGTCCAAAGTCTAAACTTCACAGGGGCACTCTTTTCTATTAATTTCTTTTCTTTTTATTTATTTATTTTTTTTTTTGAGACATGGTCTTTTTATATTTCCCAGGCTGATCTCAAACTCCTGAGCTCAAGCAATCCTTCTGCCTTGGCTTCCCAAAGTTTTGGGACTACAGGCATAAGCCACCACACCCAGCCTAATTTCTTTTCTTTCCTATGTATGGGCCATGTTTTCTTGTTTCTTTGCATGCCTTGTAATTTTTTGTTGAAAATGGGAAATTCTGAATATTGTATTTTAGCAACTCTAGAAATATAATGTTCTCTACTCCCTAGCGTTTGTTGTTGCTACTTTTGCAGTTGTTTAGTGACTTTTCTGAACCAATTTTATAAAATCTGTATTATTTGTCATGTGTGACCAGTGACATCTGTGCTATTTTAGCCTCGTGGTCATTTGATGATTAGATAGAGATTTCCTTAAACGCCTGGGATCAAAACCAAACAAAACACAAATGGCAAAAGTATTTGCAAATGGGCTCTGTGTGGGTGCTAGGGCATACCTTCAACATTCAGCCTAACAGTTTATAACTCTGCCTTAGCCTTCACCTCCTACTTGTGCAGAACATGAAGCTTAGCCAGACTTGAGAGTTTAGGACTTTCTCAAGTCTCTTCTGAGCATGTGCCCAGCTCTGGCTGTGTGTAGGGTCTTTAGATTCCCCGAAATATACAGGAGCTTTTCAAAGCCTGTATTCCTGAAAGTGTGTACTTCCCCAGCCTTTGCTCACAAGCTTTCTGATTTGTCTGTTGCTTGTCCTTCCTGTTATCCCTTCCCCAGGCAACAGTATCTGATGTATTTGCCTTTAAATGTTTTCAGCAAATGACTCAAGTGTAATTACGTCAGTTTTCTGCGAGTTTTGAAATTGAAAACTCTCTTCTTTCAGTAAACTGAAATAAAGCAAGTCCTCTGAGCTAGTCCTTCGGGGAGCCACCAGACAGGGCAAAACAAACAACCACAGTTCTTTGAAAATAAGGTCCATTCCACATCCTCTGGTACCAGAAACTTATACCTGGCATGTACACTGTTGTCTTCAAGACTGTCACTGAGCTAGGGAGTGAGGGATGGGGCAAGGGTAAATAAAACACCACAAACCTTTCTTAGAGAGATTCAGGTGTTTTCCCCTTGATTAAGCATTCACTAGGTTACTGTAAACTTTTGATTAGTTTCCAGAGTTTTAACAAAGTTGATGCTGACAGTTTATGCCAGTTTACTATTTTGGAGTTCTTTACTCTGACATTTTTGCTCCACCTTGGGAAAGTCTTCTTAATAAGGATAACATATATACTAGGCCAAGGTGTGGTGGCTCATACATGTAATCCCTGCACTTTGGGAGGCCCAGGTGGGTGGATCACCTGAGGTCAGAAGTTCAAGACCAGCCTGGCCAACATGATAAAACCCTGTCTCTTATACTAAAAATACAAAAAGTTAGCCAGGTGTGGTGGCAGGCGCCTGTAATCCCAGCTATCTGGGAGGCTGAGGCAGGAGAATCACTTGAACCTGGGAAGTGGAGGTTACAGTGAGCCGAGATTGTGCCACTGCACTCCAGCCTGGGCAACAAGAGCAAAACTTCATCTCAAAACAAAATAAAACAAACAAAAAATGAGGATAATATATATACTGGGGAGAGAAGGTTCAGGGAACAACTCTAAATTTACATTATTCAGGAAGCATCCCTTAATAAATCCCAACTGGAACCATATTTTCACTCTTGGCATTTATTCAGTCTGCATTAGATTAGTGTTTATTAATCTGTTCCTTGTAAATATTAACTTGCCTTATGATTTCACATTCTGCCTTTTCAAAATATAAAGTTCATACAAAGAACTAAAAAAATGCTGCTAATATGGAAAAAAATAGACTTGACAGAGCTATGTTTTATTTATTTGTAATCCCCTTCTCATGACTTTAAGTCCACTAACAACTAAAATTCTCAAGATTGAATGAATGCTTTAATGACTTAAATGAAAAAATTACAACAGGTGGCATAAGTACATTTTAGTACCCTTTTAACTACAAAGTATTATCACCATTCTTCACGAGCATTCCCCACTTTGAAAAATATTTCTAGCATAATTTCTATTAAAAAGCATATATAGATGTACAATTTCAGAAGCAAAATACAGATGTTGGCAAACGCTGAAAAGTTTACTAAATATCTATAACATGCAAAAGGGAAATGGGACCACTAATGACTCCAAGTGTCGTAGGAACAGACAAAAGGAGACATAAAAATCATTTGCTTGGCCAGGTGCAGTGGCTCACGCCTGTAATCCCAGTACTTTGGGAGGCTGAGATCAGGCCGATCTCCTGATCTCATTAGGTCAGGAGATCAAGACCATCCTGGCCAACATGGTGAAACCCTGTCTCTACTAAAAAGACAAACATTAGCTGGGTATGGTGGCACGTGCCTATAATCCCAGCTACTCAAGAGGCTGAGGCGAGAGAATTGCTTGAATCCGGGAGGCGGAGGTTGCAGTGAGCCAGTATCACACCACTGCACTCCAGCCTGGTGACGGAGCAACACTGTGTCTCAAAAAAATCGTTTGTCTTGGTTTCCTTCAAAATAAATTTACTTTTCGTATATTTCAAACTTACTTATTGTTTAATTCTAAGGCTTGATAGGCTGCTTTGATTCGAGCTGGAGGATTTCTTTCCCTCCATGCCTTCTGCATAACTGTAGAAAAAATATTTCAAAAAGTAGATGAGATGGTAAACAAATAATCTGCAAAATGTATGAAGAATAAGCTGATGGAGTAAACAAAGCTGTAAATAACATATTCTTAAACACACAAAACAAGAAACTGGGTTATTACCTCACATTAGCCACATGAGAAATTTACATTAAATTGGGAAGCTTCACATAAAATATAAACAAATATATTCTTTCTCAGATTTATTTGAACAACATATAGGGTACTTCAACAAATTAATTATATCATTATTATACATGAACACTTATATATCTAAATGCAGGTAACACGGAGTTTAAGTGCCATCACATTATAGTCAACATAAAATATTACAGTTCTTTTATCACTCTGAAAGGTTCTATGGAGCTGCTAAAAACAAAAATATACAAAAATTTAAAAACAAAGTCTTTGCCTAATGATTGATTTACTCTAGGAAGAAATGTATGGACTTGCACTTTGTGTAAAAAGGGCAAAAAAGACCAGGCACAGTGGCTCATGCCTGTAAACCTAGCCCTTTGGGAGGCTGAGGTGGGCGGATCACCTGAGGTTGAGAGTTCAAGACCAGCCGGACCAACATGGAAAAGCCTTGTCTCTGCTAAAAATACAAAAATTAGCCAGGCCAGGTGGCAGGCACCTGTAATCCAGCTACTCAGTAGGCTGAGGCAGGAGAATTGCTTCAGCGCTGGAGGGGGAGGTTGCAGTGAGCCAAGATCACACCACTGCACTCCACCCTGGGTGACAAGAATAAGACTTTGACTCAAAAAAAAAAAAAGAGAGAAATTAATTTAGAATGTAGTACCTCTTGAAAATGTCAGCCTCTATCAGGATTCAATAAAGGCCTAAGTTAGGAGTTCTTTGGAATATTAATTTTGTTACCATTTACTGTACCAAAATGAAGACTTCACAGTAAGTAAAGTTTTTTTTAATTAAATCAACAAACAAATAAAGTAGACTCAGGGAGGCCAAGGCAGGTAGATCACGAGGTCAAGAGATCGAGACCATCCTGGTCAACATGGTGAAACCCCGTCTCTACTAAAAGTAAACTCAGGAGATTATCTGGCCCATTTCAAGTTTGATAAGAAAAATAGAGAACCTATGAGTGTTGCTTTTGGAATAAAACCTACCACTGTCCAGGAAGAATAATGTAAAAAATGTTTGAATTTTCCTTTGGAAACAAAATATTAGTCTTGGCTTAGAAAAGGAGACAATGTATTCCACTTGTGTAACAAAAACACATTTCTCATATGAAACATGTCACCAGCTAGCTGACAGCTAATGCTTCCTGAACTGGACAAATAGATGCAAGTCAGCACCCATCTCATCCTGGCCAGGTAAAGAACATCATTCTGCTATAACACTAAATAGTACATTAAAATAATGCATAATATTAGACTTGTAATTTTTGATTACAGGCTGTCTTCTATGAGTTATATGACATTTACAAGTCAAATTTTGACACTGAATTTTTCATAACATTTTAAATTGTTATTTGGTACTCTAGTATATTAAATACATGTCCAAATTTATTTAATCAATTCCCTTTTGATGGACGATTAAGTTATCCTAAATTTTTTACTAATATAAAAACATTGTGATAACAATCTTTCACTGTGCATCTTTTCATATCTAATCAAATATTTCCTTTCTAAAAGTAGAAGGTTGGCTAAAAAAAATGTATCTTTTAAAAGATTCTGGATATGTAACAAGTTGGGGGAAACAGGATAAAAAAAAGATTCTGGATACATACTCCCCAGACTCCTTGCAGTAAGACTGTATTAACTTACACTTTTTCAGCCAGGGTAACAGAGTATGATCAATCTTTGCTAATTTAACATCTGAAACTTATCTCATTTTCATTTGTGTTTTTTAAAATTTCTAGTGAGGTCATCTATTTCACCTTTAAATATTTTATCCTATTCTTTTGTTTTCAAATGCTCTATGGGCTTTTTAAGAATACTCTTCACAACCAAAGCAGTGCTAAGCCTAAGGGAAAAGAAGAAATAAAGTTGACAGGAAAAAATATGCATTTTTTTTCTAAAATAAAGCTCAGGAGTAATTTAAAACAAAATGCTGATTTGGTATTCAACTGTTCTCTTTAAGAACTCTTGATATGCTGATTATATAATTAACAGAAGCAATGAGCAATTCACTCTAATTTATGTATTTTTGTGTGTTTTTGTTTTTTTGAGACTAAGTCTCACTCTGTCATCCAGGCTGGAGTGCAGTGGTGCCATCTTGGCTCACTGCAACCTCTGCCTCCTGGGTTCAAGTGATTCTCCTATCTCAGCCTCCCAAGTAGCTGGGATTACAGGCAGCCACCACCACGCCCAAATAATTTTTTGTATTTTTTAGTAGAGACAAGGTTTCTCCATCAAGGCAAAGCAGGCATTAGCAAGGAGTAATAAAGGCAGTGAAGCCTTATTTTGACCAAGTGGTAAGTTCTAGGCAAAGTTCCAAGACACAGGAACTTTGTCTTAGGGAGGCATGTTAATATGTTTATTTAAATTGAAAAACGTAAACTGGTTATTCTAGTTAGCAGAAAAACAAATAAATAAATTGAAAAATGAAGTCAGACTTCTCTGTCAGAAAGTAAATCTGATTTGGTTGATAGAACTGACAATGAGAACTCACCCAGTCAATTAGATAATATACAGAACTCTTTCCAAAGTTTAAAGAGCTAAATATGTAGCTCTAAGGATTTGACAGAAATATAATTAAAGCACATTACAACACTTAGAATCTTACAGTCAAATGAAATTCAGATTTTAAAAAGTTACACTATAATGTTTTATTTGCAAAAGGATGGAAGTGTGATAAAGACTCTACAGCATAAAATAATAATAAAATTACATAGGGGTATAAAACAGATGTGTTCAAGAAGAAAAAAGACAAAATTTACCATTGTTAAAGAGCATTTGGTGGGTCGAGCACAGTGGCTCACGCCTGTAATACCAACACTTTGGGAGGCCGAGGCGGGCAGATCACCTGAGGTCAGGAGTTCCAGACCAGCCTGACCAACATGAAGAAACCCTGTCTCTACTTAAAATACAAAATTAGCCGGACGTGGTGGTGCATGCCTGTAACCCTAGCTACTCAGGAGGCGAGGCAGAAGAATCACTTGAACCCAGGAGGGAGAGGTTGCAGTGAGCTGAGATTACGCCATTGCACTCCAGCCTGAGCAACAAGAGTGAAACTGTCTTAAAAAACAAAAGAAGAGCATTTGTTCAAGTATTTTTTTTGGTTGGTTGGTTGTGTTTTTTTAGATACAGGGTCTCATTCTGCTGCTCAGGCTGCAGTGCAGCGGCGCCATCAGAGCTCACTACAGCCTCGACCTTCTGGGCTCAAGAGATCCACCCACCTCAGCCTCCCAAGTATCTGGGGTTATAGGCATTCGCCACCACACCCGGCTAATTTTACAGGTGTGGCCCCATCACACCTGGTGAATTTTAAAACTTTTTGTATAGATGGGGTCTCGGTATGTTGCCCAGGCTGATCTTGAACTCCTGGAGCACAGGATGCTCCCACCTTTGCCTCCCAAAGTGCTTGGATTTCAGGCATGAGGCACTGCCCTTGGCCTATTCATGTCTTTTTCAATGGATGTGGTGGGCATTAAATCATTTCATTTCATAACACACATTGAAATATAGGGTATACTATTATTTTTAAATATCTATATTTGCAGTTTGTCAAAAATTACATTATCTATGATTATTTAACCTTACGATGTTGACTTAAAAATGTGTGAAGGGACATATTCTTTTCCAAAATTCTTTTAGGAGTTATTCAAATAAAAATGTGGTATTTTAATACCACACCTTTAGTAGACAGCCATGATTGCTATTTTAAAAGCCTGCTGATGTTTGCAATTCAGTGTTACTCTGTGAGAGGGGCTGTGAGAGAAAGGGTAGTGAGGCCTAACTTCCGGAGTCACTCAACCCTTAAAGTTACCATACAGTACTGATATTGTACTGCTGTTATTTCCCCAGAACCTATCATTTTGCCATTAATATAAACTTAAAAGTATATAAACATAAGTCTATTCTTTTTACTCCTTTGTTTGCAATTAAACCATTTTCTGTAACCATACCAAAGATCCTTGGTTTTCCTCCTACCATCCACTCTTAACATATTTAATCTAGCAAAAATAAATTACTACGAACTCATTTTAATGCAGGAAACTGGCTATTTTTGAGACCCTTCAGTGAGTTTATGGTGAATAGCAGCAGTAACAGTGTAGTGGTTAACAGCCAATCTGGAGTGTGAAACATCGTTTTATCATTCTTAGCTGTGTGACTCAAGGCATATTACTTAATCCCCTTTGCTTTGGTTTCTTTACTGTTACAACAGGGCTGATAATAGTACCTATCTCATAAAGTGACTGGGAAGATTAGAAACAATGCCTGGCACATAAGCCTAGACAAGTGTTAGCTATTCTTAGTGAAACTGCTTAAGACATCTGTGACACCTACGCCATTCATTCATTTATACTTTCACTGAAGAATAAATATCAATGTCTACATTATGCCAGGCAATGTGCTGGATAATAGGAATTCAAAGATGAAGAGAATGTAATCCCTGCTCTCCAAAAGTTCATATCTTAGTAGTAAAGACAAACATTAAAGCAATGTGATAACATTAACAAGTAAATGTTTGTGGTTGAATAGATTAACTAAAGTTACTTCATAGAGGTTTGGACTAAGTAGTATAGAATTGCAGAATACAAAGTACTGAATTCTGTGGCAAGGAATCCCAGAGAAGGCTTTCTAGAAAATGTGGCTTTTAATTTGGATAATGAAAGATAAAAGTAACTCATCAGGGCTGGGCACGGTGGCTCACGCTTATAATCCCAGCACTTTGGGAGGCCGAGGTGGGTGGATCACCTGAGGCCAGGAGTTCAAGACCAGGCTAGCCATCGTGGTGAAACCCCATCTTATAAAAAAAAAAAAAAAGTAGCCGGGCGCGGTGGCTCAAGCCTGTAATCCCAGCATTTTGGGAGGCTGAGGCAGGTGGATCACGAGGTCAAGAGATCAAGACCATCCTGATCAACATGGTAAAACCCCGTCTCTACTGAAAATACAAAAAAAAAATTAGCTGGGCATGGTGGCGCGTGCCTGTAATCCCAGCTACTCGGGAGGCTGAGGTGGGAGAATCGCCTGAACCCAGGAGGCGGAGGTTGCGGTGAGCCGAGATTGCGCCGAGCCGAGATCGCGCCATTGCACTCCAGCCTGGGTAACAAGAGTGAGACTCCGTCTCAAAAAAAAAAAAAAAAAATGTAAATCATCAGACAGATAAAGAGGGTGAGTGCATTCACAGTAGAAGAAAAATTGTGATAAAGATCCCAGCCTAGGGTGTAGTGGCTCATGTTTTGTAATGAGTTTGAGATTACAGGGAGCTATGATTGCACCACTGCACTCCAGCCTGGACGACCAAGTGAAACCATCAATCAATCAATCAATCAATCAATCAATGAGCCCTGTGATTAAGCCAGATAATTAAGAGTCTCAATACTCTCTCCTATAGAGAAGCACTTAGAGAAAACTAAACACAGAAACTTCTATGATCTTCTACCACTTTATATGCATCTCTAACTCACAACTAAAACAAAAGATACTCCAGTTTTCTTTACATGCCATTCTCCAATGTTTATACATTGTTCTAGTCTTTTATTTGATGTATAACTGCAGGTGTTAAATTTCCCAGACTGAAACAGGGTTACACTGTTTTCTGGAAAAGTAGTTGCCATATTAGATCTGAAAGGTTATTTAAGTAATTAAAGAAGTATGAAATATTTTAAATTCTTTAATAAGGAAAAGCAGTGTATCAGCCTAGCTTACAATCGTAATTTAATTTAATCTAAGTTTCTTATCAATAATATAAACAACTCCAAGCCAAATAATGCTGTATAATAAATAACTTTAAATTTTTTTTTAATAAATTTCATGATCACTGTTTATAGTATGAACAGATATGACACATACCTGTGTCTGAAGGACGTAAAAAATCTGTGTCACAGGTGAAAAAGGTCTGATGGTCCTGAGCTGACAAGTTCATGTCATAGTATGTAAGTGGCTCTTTACCAGTCACCCAAGTGTATCTTTACCAAAACACAACAAAATATTTAAATTGGACATGAGAAAGCATCTATCTGCTATAACAGACACTGCTTAAATTCAAAAATATACGGCTACACATTTGGATGTTTTAAAATCTTATATTCAGTAAAACAAAACATAACCTCACAAACTACTTAGAGTATGGTAACAAAACATCAAATACCAAATAGAAAAATAAGATTCAATAAACAATTGCTTTCGAAAATTGAATTGGGCTGGGTGCAGTGGCTTGCACCTATAATCCCAGCTACCAGGGAGGCTGAAGCTGAAGGATCACATGAAGCGTAGAGCTCAAGACCAGTCTGAGCAATATAGCGAGATCTTGTCTCTATTTTTTAACTTTTAAAAAAAAAAAGGCTTAGTAAAAAGAAACTTAAGGATTGGGAACTGGTACACAAAATGGAGCCTAGAATGGAGCTAACATATGAAATGTATACAAAAAAGTAATACTTTTATATTAAGAGAAAATAATCATTCAAAAGAAGCATAAGAATTTCGGATACTAAGAAATTTCTCCTAGGCTGGGCATGGTGGCTCACATCTGTAATCCCTGACACTTTGGGAGGCCGAGGCAGGAGGATCACTTGAGGTCAAGAGTTTAAGACAAGCCTGGCCAATATGATGAAACCCTGTCTCTCCTGAAAATACAAAAATTAGCCAGATGCAGTAGGGGCAGCCTGTAATCCCAGCTACTTGGGAGACTGAGGCAGGAGAATTGCTTGAACCTGTAGGGAGGAGAATGCAGTGAACCAAGATCACACCACTGCACTGCATGTTAGCCTGGGTGACAGAGACTCAGTCTCAAATATATATATGTATATATATATATAAAATACATATATTTTAAGATCTTCAGGCAATGGATACTGTATAATACAATGAAGACTACCTTCAAACTTTGATTAAACAAAATAAGAGATTCAAGGGCTTGTTTCTTACAGGTATCCCTTAATACGGGCTAATGGCATCTTGCATAAAAGCCTAGCTTTCACTTCACAGGGTGTCACTGTCTTACATTATCAAGTCTTTAAGCACAGGAGTTACTGCTTAGTCATTTTTCTATCTCCATCATTTTTGCAAAGTGCCTGTACATGGTAGAAACATAATGCTTCTTATTCAATAAGTTAAATAACATGCCCCATTCTACTTCTAGGTAAAACACAGCACTGCTCAACATAAAAGTAAATTATCTTCGGTCATAAGTTTAAAAAGATGTTTTCTCATTTAGAGTAAAAACCAGAAGGGAAATGGACACAGTAGTGAAAATAGAAAATAGCAATATGAAATCAATATAAAAATACAGTACCCTCCACTGTTGCATAATTTACATTCAGTGATATTTTCTAATGAATCTTCAAATTTTGAAATTTAGCATTCATGCACAGGAATACACTGACACTGGTAATTTTTTCTTAATGTCACACATTAGCTGGATGTGGGCTCTGCCTATGGAGTAGCCATTCTTTCATTTGTTTACTTTCTTAATAAACTTGCTTTCTGCCAATGGAGTGGGCATTCTTTTCTTTTATTCCCTTACTTTCTTAATAAACTTGCTTTCACTTAAAAAAAAATTAGCTGGATGTGGTGGCATGTGCCTGTAGTCAGCAGGAAAATTGCTTGAGCCCAGGAGCTCAAGGCTGTGGCTAGCTATGATCATGCTACTGCACTCTATCCTGAGCGACAGAGCAAGACTCTCTCTCTAAACAATTTTTTTAATTAAAAAAATAAACAAAACGCAGTCAAGAAGCTGCCAAGTAAAACTCTGGGCTAATCTTTTTACATTATTATAGATCTGTACCTCCTACTAGAAGAGCTGTGATTTATTTACAAAGACAAATATTTTTGTAAATACCTTTACTCTAAAACCAATGCCCTAGTTATACTGAAAGCAAAATGTAATACCTCCTATATTCTGCTCCTCTGAAAAGATTTAGAGGGTTTCTCCACACCTTACATTCTGAAAAACAAGGGGGAAAAAGAGGAAAAAGAGGCAGTTAAAAATCTTCATTTAACCAGTATCTGTTGTCTACCTACCGTAGGCTAAGCACAGTGCTAGCCACAGATGGTACAAAGATGAATCAAATATGCCCTCAAGAAACAGAATTAAATCATAAATATAGTCATTTCCTTCTGTCTCCACAGCATTTGGTTCATAATTCAATTATAGCACTTACCATATCACAATGTGATTATCTGCTTGGTTTTGTTTCCCCTGAAAAATATGAAGTCTTAATACTTTGCTCATTTATATATTCCTGGAACCAAGCACAGCATCTGGAACTGACTTGCTTAACTGAATTAAATATAGTATGAGAGGAGTCATGTAAATAGCCTGAACTGTGTGATAAGTGCCAGAGTACAGACACAAAAAAGAAAGAAGTGATTAAATTTGTTCTGGGGAAATGAAGGAAGGCTTTAGAAAGGGGGTGACATTTGAACTGACATTGAATCACTATAAAAAATGAGAATAAGGTTGTAAAACGAAGAACATCCAAAGCAGAGGAAGTATCATAAAACCATACAGAATGGTTAGGCTAGAGTATAGGATAAGGAGTGGGAGGGAAAACTGTAAATGGGGTTAGAAAACAGACTGGAAGAGTCTGGGCACAGTGGCTCACGTCTGTAACCACAGCACTTTGGGAGTCCGAGGTGGGCAGATAACCTGAGGTTAGTGCAAGACCAGCCTGGCCAACACGGTGAAACCCCATCTCTAAAAATACAAAATTAGCTGGGCATGCTGTGCCTGTAATCTCAGCTAGTAAGGAGGCTGAGACAGGAGAATCGCTGAAACCCAGGAGGCAGAGGTTGCAGTGAGCTGAGACGGCACCATTGCACTCCAGTCTGAGCGACAAGAGCAAAACTCCATCTCAAAAAAAAGAAAACAAAAGAAAATAGACTGGAAGAAACTGATGAAGGAGCGATGTACTACAGTAAAGAATTTAGGTATTATACTTGGTCATAAAGGTTTATAAGCAGAAAAATAACAAATATCAGACCTTTGTTTAGATCAGCAGTTCTCAAAGTATGATTCATGGAATGCAAAGTAACAACTCTTAAAAATAAATTCTAAGACATTATTTGCCTTTTTAAATGTGCTCACTTGAAGTTGGTTGCATGACCCTGAGAGTAAGGGTGTCCTTAAATTTGGTACCCTAGGCCCCTACCTCACTTGTCTTATTTGTCCTGCAAAATTGAACTGGTGATGAAAAGTTAATGATGGGTAAAAATGCTAGCACATTAGCATGCGTCAAGACAATGACATCAAACTATACTAGCAGTCATTGGATTCTTCACTTCCACATCCTTGCAGTACAAATAAGACAAATTTCTTCCTTTGTTTTTTTTTTGAGATGGAGTGTCACCCTGTCGCCCAGGCTGGTTTGCAGTGGTACAATTTTGGCTCACTGCAACCTCTGCCTCCTGGGTTCAAGCAATTCTCCTGCCTCAGCCTCCCGAATAGCGCAGGCCTCTATGCCTGGCTAATTTTTTGTATTTCAGTGGAGACAGGGTTTCACCGTGTTGCCCAGACTGGTCGCGAAATCCTGAGCTCAGGCAATCGGCCCACCTAAGCCTCCCAAAGTGCTGGGATTACAGGCATGAGCCACTGCACTCGGCCAGCAAATTTCTTTTAAACATTATAGCAGGTATGGTGGTTTTCTCTAGTAAACAAATTGTGAGCAGAACTGGCCCTTTATGTCAGGGAACATCACTTTTACTTGAAAGAGTCACACACAAACTTACAGTTATTTAGATGGGTACCTGGCAGATATTTTCTCAAAAATGAACTGAGTCTAGGCCAGGCGCAGTAGCTCATGCCTATAATCCCAGCACTTTGGGAGGCCGAGGCGGGTGGATCACGAGGTCAAGAGATCAAGACCATCCTGGTCAACAAGGTGAAAAACCCCGTCTCTACTAAAAATATAAAAATTAGCTGGGCATGGTGGTGCGCGCCTGTAGTCCCAGCTACTCGGGAGGATGAGGCAGGAGAATTGCTTGAACCCAGAAGGCAGAGGTGGTGGTGAGCCAAGATCGTGCCATTGCAATCCAGTCTGGGTAACAACAGCGAAACTTCATTTCAAAAAAAAAAAAAAAAAAAAAAAATGAACCAAGTCTGTCAAAATCAAGAAAGAAAATGAAAGTATTTGCTGCCAGTGATAAAATTTTAGCTTTCAAGTACATATTAAAATTTTTAAAAATTTGTGTTGGCTACTGTAAGCCTGGCAAATTTCACAATAAAGGCTTTTCTGTGAGAATGATGATGATATTAACAAATGAGTTTTTTGTATTATGCAATAAAATTGATAAACATTTATGATATGCATAACTCAGTGAACAAGTATTTTCCAAACAACCAATGTATATTATAAAATTATACATAAGTAAAAGATCCATTCAAAATGTAAGATATACCAATAGATTTTCACATAACACAGCATTCAAAGTTCAGATTCCACACTGTAACTAAACTTTCAGAAAGTACTCATAGCAAGTTTTAGTGTAATTTCAAAAAAAGATAGCCACAAATTTTCTGAGAAGGCTATTAAAATCCTCCTCCCCTGTCCAATTACATATCTGAGTGAAACCAAATTTTCTTCATATACTTCAATTGAACACCATTTCACAATAGACAATGGAGAATAAGCTGTCTTCTATTAACTGAACTTTTACTTGTTGTGAGAAATAGAATTATTTTTCACAATGTGAACCTATGGAATCAGACAAGTTTCACAATGTGAGAAATAATTATATTTCCCTCAATAAGTAAAATTAGTTCAGGCTGCCATAACAAAATACCACTGACTGTGTGGCTTAACAGAAATTTATTTTCTCACAATTCTGGAGACTAGAAGTCTGAGATCAGGGTACCTGCAGGGTACCAGCACAACTGAGTTCTGGTGAGGCTGAGTTTTTGCTGTATTCTCACATGGAAGAGAGAGTTCTGGTATTCCTTCTTATTAAAAGGCATTCCTGTCTATCAGATCAGGCTTCCACTCATATTTTATCTTAATAACCTTCTGAAAATAACCAATAGACTATTGACTATTTTCAATAGTCATATGGGGAATTAGGGATTCAAAATATGAATTTTGGGGAACACAATTCAGTTTACAGCATTCTGGCTCTGGCCCCCCTAAAATTTATGTCTTTCTTTCATATACAATATGTTAATTCCACCAGGCACGATGGCTCACATCTGTAATCCCAGCACTTTGGAAGGCCAAGGTGGACAAATCACCCTGGGGTCAGGAGTTTGAGACCAGCCTAGCCAACACAGTGAAACCCAGTATCTACTAAAACTACAAAAAATTAGACAGGTATAGTGGTGCGTGCTTGTAATCCCAGCTACCTGGGAGGCTAAGGCACAAGAATTGCTTGAAATTGGGAGGTGGAGGTTGCAGTGAGCCGAAATGGTGCTACTGCACTCCAGCCTGGGTGACAGAGACTCCAACTCAAAAATAAATAAATAAATACATAAATACATAAATAAATAAAAATACATTAATTCTACCCCCAAAGTCTTAACTCATTCCGGCATCAATTCTAAAATATAAAGGCCAAAGTTTCAAACTGAATATTATCTGAATTGCCGGGAGCGGTGGCTCACGCCTATAATTCCAGCGCTTTGGGAGGCTGAGGCAGGCGGATCACAAGGTCAGCAGTTTGAGACCAGCCTGACCAACATGGCAAAACCCCGTCTCTACTAAAAATACAAAAATTAGCTACTCAGGAGGCTGAGGCAGGAGAATTGCTTGAACCTGGGAGGCGATGGCTGCAGTGAGCCAAGAGTGCACCACTGCACTCCAGCCTGGGCGACAAAGCGAGACTGTCTCAAAAAATAATAAAATAAAATAAGTAAAAGTAAAAATAAATATCTGAATCAGACAAGATGAGGCTGAAGGTACAATTAATTCTTAGACTCAATTCCTCATCAGATGTGAACCTATGGAACCAGAAAAGTTATGTGCTTCCAATATACTGCACGATGGTGGGCAGACATAGGATAGACATTTCCATTCTCAAATGGAAAAAATCAAAAGGAAGGAAGGGGTAATGGTTACCAAGCAAGTCCAAAATCTAGCAAGGCAAATTCCATTAGATCTTAAAGCTTGAATGCCAGGCACAGTGGCACCTGCCTGTAATCCCAGCTATTCAGGAAGCTGAGGCAGGAGGATCACTTGAGCCCAGGAGCTCAAGACCCCAAACCTGGGCAACATAGTGAGGCCTTGTCTCATCTCTATTAAAAAAAAAAAAAAGTCTAGGCACAGTGGCTCACCCCTGTAATTCCCAGCACTTTAGGAGGTTAGGCGGGTGGACTACCTGAGATCAGGAGTTCAAGACCAGCCTGACCAACATGGAGAAACCCCATCTCTACTAAAAACACAAAATTAACCAGGCATGGTGATGCACACCTGTAATCCCAGCTACTTGGGAGGCTAAGGCAGAAGAGTCACTTGAACCCAGGAGGCAGAGGTTGTAGTGAGCAGAGATGCTACCACTGCACTCCAGCCTGGGCAATAGAGCAAGACTCTGTCACAAAACAAAACAAAGAAAGAAAGAAAGAGAAGAAAAGACAGAGAAAAAGCTTGAGAATTCTTTTTGGCTTGATACTCTGCCCTCCAGGCCCACTGGGGTGGCAGTGTCACCCCCATGGCTCTGTGGTACAGCCCCACCCATGCAGTTCTCTGTGAGGGTGGCCTGGCCCCAGAAACTGGAAAGTCAGCTTCCGCCTTTGAAACCAAGGAGGAAACAGCTTTGCCCACTGGGCCTGTGTTGGGAGTGGCAGTCCTGGGTTTGGTCATTCTTCCTTTTCTTTGAAGTTAGTTCATGTTCACAGTTGAGTAGCTCTATGGTCTGGTCCAATAGAATCCAAAAAGTCTAACACCCTTCCTCCATTCTGCCCCACCTTCCCTGTCCTTTTTAGTTCAAACTGGCAGTGTGTTTGCTGGTATAAACTCAACTCTATTCCTGGTTTCTACTAAGATGACTAAGTCTATGAAGTGCACACATGATAACAAATAGTTGTTCAACCACACCCTTACTGATCTCTTCAGAACAAGTTTTCTCATGTATTCATAAAATGGATAGGCTGAGAATTTCCAAGTCTTCAAATTGTGGTTCCTTTTTGCTTAACAAGTTCTTCTATTCATCTCTTTCCTTTTACATTTCATTATAAGCAGTCAAAATAAACCAAGTTGTGCCACTTTGCTTAGAAATCTCCGCAGCTAAATATTCAATTTCACTGCTCTCAAGTTCTACCTTCCCCACAATGCTAGAATACAGTTCAGCCAGCTCTTTACCACTTTATACAAGGATCACCTGTCCTCCAGTTGCCAATCACACATTCCTTATTTCCACTTGAGACCTTGCCAAACTGTCCTTATCCATATTTCTAGCATGCACCTCAAAACTCTTGCAGCTTCAACTCATTATCCAGCACCAAAGCTGCTTCCACATATTTAGGTGTTTATTACAGTGGTACCCCACTTCTTGGTACCAAAATCTGTTAGCTAGGGTTGCCATAACAAAATATCATATGCTGAGTGGCTTAAACAACAGAAATTTATTTTCTCAAAATCTGAAGGCTGGAAGTACAAGAGCAGGGTACCAAAATGGTTGGGCTCTGGTGAGGGCTCTCTCCTGGCTTTCAGAGAGTAGTCTTCTCATTGTGTCTTTGCATAGCAGAGAGACAGCAATCCTCTTCCTCTTCTTACAAAGCCAGCAATACTATCAGATTAGAATCCCCTCATTTAACCTTGATTACCTCCTAAAAATCCCAGCTCCTAATACAGTTATATTAGAGGTTAGAGTTTCAACATACGAATTTTAGGGGACACATTTCAGTCTACAACATGTTAACATGTAAAGAATTTACTGCTATTAAAAAATATTTTTAAATTTCCTGCTTTAATTTCTAAGATGATAAATATTGATGGACATAATCTACATTTAGACAAAGGCTCTTTGAGGTCCTGGATAATTTTTTAAGAATGAAAAGTCCAAAAAGTTTGAAAACCACGTTTTCTTTTTACATAGTAAGGAGAGAGAATGTACCAGAAGGCGAAGTATAAGAGGAAGGGAAACCACTTAGGATACTACAGCAATAGCACAGGGAAGAGATGTTTAAGTGCCTAGATATGGGGCTATGAATGTTGAAAGAAAAGAAGGTAGAATGGGCTGGGCTGGGTGGCTCACATCTGTATCTCAGCATTTTGGGAGACTGAGGCAGGCGGATCACCTGAGGTCAGGAGTTCAAGAACAGCCTGGCCAACATGGTGAAACCCCATCTCTACTAAAAATACAAAAATCAGACTGGCATGGTGGCAGATGCCTGTAATCCCAGCTACTTGGGAGGCTGAGGCAGGAGAATCACTTGAACCTGGGAGGCGGAGGTTGCAGTGAGCCAAGATCATGCCATCATGCTCCAGCCTGGGGCAACAAGGATGAAACTCTTCATATTCTTGTCAGCAGAGAAAGAAAGAAAGAAAAAAAAAGAATGAAATGCCATCTCAAAAAAAAAAAAAAAAAAAAAGAAGGTAGAATGGAGTCAAGACAATTATTTAAGGGGGAATTGTTACAATTTTGGGTTGACTGGATAGAAAAGGGATAATATAAATGATATAAACTAAAAAAAAACCCAAAGATTCCTAAAATGAGAACTGGTTGCCATCAAAGATTTTAGAATTATAGAGGAAGAAGTATGGAAGAAGACAATTAGTTTCATTTTGCACAGAATGGGTTCAGGGTGGTTAGGGCCATTAAAGGTGGAAGACTCTAGCAAAGAAATGTAGGTCTAGAGTTTAAAAGAGAGCTTGGGGGTAGAAATTTAAAATTGGCTCCTCCCAGCATATATGTCTATGGTAGCTAATATTATTGAATAAGATGAAGTTATCCAGGGAGAAAAAAATTGAACAAAAGGATGCTTTAATTCACTTAAAAATTTTTTTTCCCCGTTAGAGATAGGGTCTTGCTGTCACCCAGACTGGAGTGCAGTGGCACAGTCATAGCTCACTGCAGCCTCAAACTCCCAGGCTCAAGTGATCCTCCTGCCTCAACCTCCCAATTAGCTGGAACTACAGGTTCATACTACTATGACCAACTGATTTTTTTGTAGAGACAGGGATCTTGCTATCTTGCCCATAGGCTGGTCTTAAACTCCTGGTCTCAAATGATTCCCTTACCGCAGCCTCCCAAAGTACTGGGATTATAGGTTTGGGCCACTGTGCCCAGCTTTTAACTCACTTTGAGGTCCAATTCAAAGTATTTCCTCTGTGAAGTATTTTGCAGCCCTCCCTCCAAAAACTGACCATTCTTTCTTTTCTGTCACCATAGTATCTTATATAAGATACCATGTATCTTTAAAGAGTATCACATATAAGATACTCTATAAAAACAGCTTACCATACCCTTTTGCTGTCAACTTATTTATATCTGTATCCTCTACCAAAATGGAATGTTCTTAAGGGTACCTTCACTCTCATTATTAATGGCATACTCAGTCTTACAATAGAAAATAAAATCACGTCATGTGCTATTGTTATAATTATTTATATACTGAACTCTGAGCTTCATGAGGACAGATCTATATCATATTCAATTTAATATGTCTTGTTCTTAGGGGTGCTGTAATTATTTTATGAAAGAGGAGAAATGACAAGAGGAAGGGAAATTGACTATTATTCCTTGTTATACGCATGAATGGCTGCCAACCCCACCCAATTATTCCTAGTCATGCTTCAGAACACCAATTAAATGGTGCTTCCTCAGGGACTTTGTACTACCACATCTAAAAAGTACCATCAATTGCACTCAAGTAGTATTTTTCTATTTTTCTTTTTTTTTTTTTTTCTGAGACAGAGTCTCACACTGTCACCCAGGCTGTAGTGCAGTGGCACTATCTCAGTTCACTGCAATCTCCACCTCCTGGGTTTAAGCAATTCTCCTGACTCAGCCTCCAGAGTAGCTGGGACTATAGGCGTGTGCCACCACGCCCAGCTAATTTTTTTGTATTTTTAGTAGAGACGGGGTTTCACCATGTTGGCCAGGATAGTCTCGATCTCCTGACTTCGTGGTCTGCCCACTTCAGCCTCCCAAAGTGCTGGGATTACAGGCATGAGCCACCATGCCTGGCCTAAGTAGTATTTTTCTACTGAACTATCTATAACTCTAGTGGTTAAGCTATTGAACAAATGAGACATTGGGAATATTATGGAATTAACTCATTTGTATTATTACCACATGATTATTACCTATAGGAAATGAAAGGAACAAAAATCCAAAAGTATTCATTTTGGCGAGGCACAGTGGCTCACACTTATAACCCCAACACTTTGGGAAGCTGAAGTGGGAGAATCACTTGAGCCCAGGAGTTCAAGACCAGCCTGGGCAACATAGTGAGACCTCATCTCTATTTAAAAAATAATTTTTATTTGGTTTTGAAAATTTTGCTTTCCTAGTTAAATATCATTAAAAATATTCGCTTTCTAGCTGGCTGGGCATGGTGGCTCACGCCTGTAATCCTAGCACTTTGGGAGGCCGAGGCAGGCAAATTACCTGAGGTTGGGAGTTCCAAAGTAGCCTGGCCAACATAGTGAAACCCCATCTCTACTAAAAAAAAAAAAAAATACAAAAAATTAGCTGGGTGCAGTGGTGTGCGCCTGTAATTCCAGCTACTAGGGAGTCTGAGGCAGGAGAATCACTTAAACCCAGGAGGCAGAGGTTGCAGTGAGCCAAGATCATGCCACTGCACTCTACCCTGGGCTACAGAGTGAGACTTCACCTAAAAAAAAAAATTTGCTTTCTATTACTTGATACAAACAGAGGAACAGTTATGACAATGGAATATTCATATATGAAGAACTGAGACTTTGATGTCAGTTTTTAAGCATACTGAAAAAATAATTTTTTTTCCTACTTTCCTCTCTTGGCAGAGATGGCTGATTATTTCTTTCCTCTCCGTTATTGGTCATAAGATTCCCTGATTTGCTGGGCATATATACACTGAGAAAATGATGACAATGTCTAGCCTTCCTTATAGAGAGTAGTGGCCACATTAAACAGATCTGACCAGTAGGAAGTAAGCTGAAATAGTATGTAACATTTCTGAGAATAGTCCTTTGCTTCTGTGGAGTGGAGTAGAGGGAAGGAGTGACCTTACCTTGGATTTCTTTCCTTCCTACTGATTGGAGTGTGGATATGATGGCTAAAGCAAGAGCAACTGTCTTACACTACAAGGTAAAAACTACATTTTTGAATGGCAGGCTAACAAAATAGAAGGGGTCTGGGTATCTGATGATTATTGTTTTCCATACTAGCCATGGACTACCTATATTAACACGAAAGACAAATTTCTCTGTCTCTTAGTCCATGTGGACTGCTATAAGAAAATATCATAAACTAGGTAGATTATAAACAGCATAAATTTATTTTTCACAGTTCTGGAGGCTAGGAAGTCTATCATGACCAAGGCACCAACCGATTTGGTGTCTAGTGAGGATCTGCTTTCTGGTTCATAGATGGCACCTTCTCGTGCTGTCCTCACATGGTAGAAGTGGCAAGCAGCTCTCTGGGGTCGCTTCAAAAAGGCATTAATAACATCCAAGAGGGTACTGCCCTCATGACCCGATCACCTTTCAAAGATCCTACCTCATAACATCACATTGGTGATTAGAATTTGGGGGGAAACACAAACATGCACACCACAGCACTCTGCTATTTTGAGTTTTCTATCTCCCAAAGCCAAACTCAATCTTAAATATACAGCTCTGAAAACACATTAGGAAAGCAGTCACCTGACAAATTCTGTCTGCTGGTTTCATTTTCTCTGTTCCTGGAAGGAGAACCTGGTTCTGAAATGCTGTGCTCTGTTCCTCCCATCAGTGGTCGCAAATGGCTTACAGATACTTGCTCAATAAAAGATGTGCCATGTTTATGGAAGTACCACCATTCAAATATCTATGACAAAGAAAATATCCTCCACTTAGAATTGATCAGCAGATATATGAACTCAAATTAAAACATTCTCTTCAGATGTCCTGTTCAATTCAGCATGTTAAATGCACTCTCCTTCCAAAAAGAAAAAAAAAAATCACACAAACACAAGATTCACCAATGACACATATCATGTAAAATTATCTTTTTTATAGTTTTGTCATAAAATTTAGACAAGCTTAAGCAAAACTAGGCATATGTAATAAAGCATTAAAAAACAGTAAGAAGCATTTAATCTATAATTAATTTAACCCTGTTAAGTTACATTGTCATTTTACTCTATCTGCAGCATAAATAATTTTCAGATAAGCAGAGTAGATGAACAGACTAGACTAGGATCAGCATGCCCATGTTTGACTCCCAAATCAGCCATTTATTAGCTGTTTGCTGTGGGCAAGTCACTTAACCTCAACATCTCAAAGCAGAGCCTCAGCTAAATGTGGTTTGAGATGAGATCTCACTCTGTTGCCAGGCTGGATTGCAGTAGCATGATCACAGCTCACTGTAGCCCTGACCTCCCTGGGCTCAGGTGATCATCCTACCTCAGCCTCCCTAGCAGCTAGAACTACAAGCATACACCCAGCTAATTTTTATATTTTTTGTCAAGACAAGGTTTCACCATGTCACCCAGGCTGGTCTCAAAGTCCTGGGCTCAGGGGCTCTGCCCTCCTCAGCCTCACAAAGTGGTAGGATTATAGGTGTGAGCTACCACAACCAGCCAGATTTTGATATTTTTGAAAACTATTTTATTATGACCACAAACAGAACACATCACAAAAAATCAGAGTTTTCAAATCTGTAGGAACATTTTTTGCTTCAGTAAATAACGAATTATGCTACATAGGTACCAAAAGTATAGTCATATAGCCCACTGACAAAACGCCACAACGTTTGTAGGAAAGTGTGAGAAAATCAAGGTGCAGCATTTTTTTCTATCATGTCACCAATGTTGTTTTTTTTTTTTTGAGACGGAGTTTCGCTCTTGTTACCCAGGCTGGAGTGCAATGGCACGATCTCAGCTCACCACAACCTCCGCCTCCTGGGTTCAGGCAATTCTCCTGCCTCAGCCTCCTGAGTAGCTGGGATTACAGGTAGGCGCCACCGTGCCCAGCTAATTTTTTGTATTTTTAGTAGAGACAGGGCTTCACTATGTTGACCAGGATGGCCTCGATCTCTTGACCTCGTGATCCACCCGCCTCGGCTTCCCAAACTGCTGGGATTACAGGCGTGAGCCACCACGCCCAGGCCTCATGTCACCCATGTTTTACACTCAATATAAAATGGCTTCTTTCTGCTCATGCTTACTAAGTTAGCAAGAAGTTAATTATCACCAAATGAGGCCATGATTTGACTTCTACCATATGTTTTACTAAGAGCTGAGATAAAACTTCTTTACACAAGCAGAAATTGTTCATGTGACAGAAAAGACAAGGTTCATATTGAATAAATCTTGGTTAAGAAAATTGGATAGGGCCAGGCATGGTGGCTCACGCCTGTAATCCCAATATTTTGAGGCCAAGGTGGGAGGATCACATGAGGCCAGTAATTCGAGACTATCCTGGACAACATAGTGAGACCCCATCTCTACAAAACGTAAAAAAATGAACCAAATGTGAGGATGTGTGTCTGTAGTCCCAGCTAGGGCTAAGGTGGGAAGATCACTTGAGCTTGGCAGGTTGAGGCTTCAGGGAGCTGTGATTATGTCATCGCACTCCAATCTGGGTGACAGAGTAAAACCCTGTCTCAAAAAAAAAAAAAAAAAGATAAATACTGTCAAGGGTAACAATAACACACTTCCCTTCACTACACAAAGTGCAGTGGGTTTTTTAACAAACAAGTATGAAATTAGCGGCTTTTTCAACTTTTAAGTCAACTTTTTAACACAAATGAACAATGATAATAATAACTGCAAATACTTATCGAAAGCTTTCTATGAGTCATGCATTATGCCAAGTCCTTGACATACATTATGCCATTTAATTTTCATAAAAACTGATTTTAGAGATGATGACACACATTCCAAATTCAAATACCTAGCTTTAGTTCGCATCACTGGTAAGTGGCAGAGCTAGGGTTCTTATTGCGGTTTGCCTGACTTCAGAGCTTCCAACTGTTACACTAGACTGATTGACAAATATATCTCACTATATATGTATATGTGATTGTATGTCTATACAAGTTTGTTAAATCCAGGTGGTAAAAGAAATTATAAACACAACAACCTTTGCTAATAAAAACCCGTCAATATTGCAAGGGTAATGATACAGTTTAACCTTTAAAAATGTTACTTGAGGGCCGGGCGTGGTGGCTCACGCCTGTAATCCCAGCACTTTGGGAGGCCCAGGCGGGTGGATCATGAGGTCAAGAGATCGAGACCATCCTGGTCAACATGGTGATACCCCGTCTCTACTAAAAATACAAAAAATTAGCTGGGCATGGTGGTGCGTGCCTGTAATCCCAGCTACTCAGGAGGCTGAGGCAGGAGAATTGCCTGAACCCGGGAGGCGGAGGTTGCGGTGAGCCGAGATCGCGCCATTGCACTCCAGCCTGGGTAACAAGAGCGAAATTCCGTCTCAAAAAAAAAAAAAGTTACTTGAATTTCCTAACTTTTGTATATTTAAAATGCTGCTTTATAAGGTGCAACAAAATGTTTTGTTGGATTTTTGTTGTTGCTGTTGCTGTTCTTTTTGAGACAGGGTCCAGTTTGTTGCCCAGGTTAAAGTGCAGTGGCATGATCACAGCTCACTGCAGCCTCTATCTTCTGGGCTCAAGCAATCCTGCCACCTCAGTCTCTGAAGTACCTGGGACTACAGGAGTGCACCGACACAATGTGCTAATTTTTAAATTTTGTACAGAGACCAGATCTTGCTCATTTGTCCAGGCTGGTCTTGAACTCCTGGCCACAAGCAATTGTCCTGCCTCAGCCTCCCAAAGTATTGGTATTACAGGCACGAGACACCACACCTGGCCACAAAATGTTTGTTTGTTTTTTTTTCCACAAAACGGTTTTTTAAAAGGTTTTAGACATCATTTATGTAAGTAAGCTATCCCCCTCTTATAGATGAGGAAACTATGGTTTAGACAGTTTATGTAGCTTGCCCTAAGTTATCAGCTAGTAAGTGGCAGAGTCAAGATTTAAAATGTTATCTTTTGGTTCCCAAACGAGTGCTTTTTCCACTACATCAGCTGTTTAATAGTTTCTTTAAAAATAAAAACAAAAAATATATATATACTACATAGAAACAGGGTCTCACTGTTGCCCAGGCTCATCTCAAACTTCTGTCGTTAAGGGATTCTCCCACCCCAGCCTCCCAAAGAGTTGAGATTATAGGTATGAGCCATTGTGGCTGGCTAAAAGATAGTTTATTGTCTTTACTAATTGATATTTGTATGCTATTGACTAAATAAGCTAAAATATGCTCATGTTAAATTATGAAGCTTATATTAACATGTAGTTTTAATCCTGAATTCCTCCACAGCTTCTATTTTTTAAGCCAAGAGAAAAATCTTGTTCTTGTTTGGCATTTCACTTTAACAAAATGGTCTGTATTAGTCCCTATTAAAAAAAAAAAGATCCAATACAAATGCTATTCCTACTATAGCTGGAGAGCACCACCTAGAGATTGAAAAAAAGGAACAGGCTGAGTGTGTTGGTACAAGCCTGTAACCTTAGCACTTTGGGAGGCCGAGGAGGGTGGATTGCTTGTGCCCAGGTGTTTGAATAACATAGTGACTCTGTCTCTACAAAAAAATAAATAAAAATGTAAAAAGAAGAGAAAAACCCATTGGCTATGCATGGCATAAAACGTCTTAAGATTTTTATCTGCAGCAGTATTGTTCCAAAGTACACATTAGGAAACAGGACAACCTAGGGATATTAATGTGGATTTTTAAAATGTTTTATTTATTTATTTTTTTTGAGACAGAGTTTTGCTCTTGTTGTCTAAGCTGGAGTGCTGTGGCACAATCTTGGCTCATTGCAACCTCTGCCTTCCCCACTCAAGGGATTCTCTTGCCTCAGCCTCCTGAGTAGCTGGGATTACAGGCATGTGCCACCATACCCGGTTAATTTTTTTCTATTTTTAGTAGAGATGAGGTTTCTCCATCTTGGTCAGGCTGGTTTTGAACTCTCAACCTCAGGTGATCTGCCTGCCTTAACCTCCCAAAGTGCTGGGATGACAGGCATGAGCCACCGTGCCTGGTCTTTAATTGTTTTTAAATTAAAAATATCTTCTTAAAGGAAAAGTTGAATAAAAGTTAAACAGTTTTGGGTTTTTTTGGTTGTTGTTGTTGTTTTGAGATAGAGTCTTGCTCTGTAGTGCAGTGGCGCCATCTTGGCTCACTGCAACCTCTCCCTTCAGGGTTCAAGTGATCCTCCCACCTCAGCCTCTCCAGTAGCTGGGACTATAGGTGCATGTCATGCACCAGCAAATTTTTGTATTTTTTTGTAGAGACAGGGTTTTGCCATGTTCCCCAGGCTGGTCTCAAACTCCTGGGCTTGAGTCATCAGTCCGCCTTGGTCTCCGAAAGTTCTAGGATTACAGGGATGAACCACTCTGTCAGGCCAAACAAGTTTCTTTTTTCTTTTCTTTTTTGAGACGGAGTTTCACTCTTGTTACCCAGGCTGGAGTGCAATGGCGCAATCTCGGCTCACCGCAACCTCCGCCTCCTGGGTTCAGGCAATTCTCCTGCCTCAGCCTCCTGAGTAGCTAGGATTACAGGCACGCGCCACCATGCCCAGCTAATTTTTTGTATTTTTAGTAGAGACAGGGTTTCACCCTGTTGACCAGGATGGTCTCGATCTCTTGACCTCGTGATCTACCCGCCTCGGCCTCCCAAAGAACAAGTTTCTTAATTGTGAGAATTCTCAGAATAACAGGCAGCCAAAATTCATTGAGTGCACACTCTGAACCAGCTACCATGTTACAAACTTTTATAACATTATCCGATTTAGTCTTCATAATCCTATAAAGTTCATGCTGTTATTAACCTCAGTTAACAGATGCGGAAACTGGGGTTTGGAAAAGCTATCGGTTGAATGCATAACACATAAATTTTAGTCTGCCCAATGTTGCCAATATTAAAATACTGTGGTCAGACATGGTGGCACACACCTGTAATCCCAGCTACTGGGGAAGCTGAGATGAGAGGATGGCTTGAGCCCGGGAGTTAAGGCTACAGTGTGCTATAATGGTGCCTGTAAATAGCTACTGCACTCCCGCCTGGGCAACAAAGTGAGACTCCATCTCAATTTTTTTTAATGAGCAAATTTTATATAAAAACTGTATATCCAGGTTATCGATTTATTCATTCATTCATTTTTGAGACAGGGTTTTTCTCTGTTGCCCAGTCTGAAGTGCAGTGGCATGATCTTGGCTCACTGTAACCTCTGCCTCCTGAGTTCAAGCGATTCTTGTGCCTCAGTCTCCTGAGTAGCTGAGACTACAGGCACCCGCCACCAAACCCAATTAATTGTTGTATTTTAGTAGACAGGGTTTCACCATGTTGGCCAGGCTGTTCTTGAACTCCTGGCCTACTTCAGGTTCCCAAAGTGCTGAGATTACAGGCATGAGCTATGGCGCCCAGCCTATCTGGGTTCTCTTTAAATCATTTGAAAAACTGGAAGAACTGGTCATACTAGATGCAAGTTTATATGGCAACGATTAGCTTTAGCCTCTTTTAGAAGGGGCATGCACTGTCCAGGTTACCCAGTCCTTAAGGAAACAAGAATTTAATTCTTAAACTCTGTCAACTTACTCATTTTTGTTACCAACTTGGGCTCTGCAGGCATTTAATTTCCAACATACCCCAAGCCCTTCCTGACTAGAGTTTACAATAAGCCTTTAATATGTAAATAAATACTGTCAATCTCTAAAAGTGGATTGGGAGATGCAGTGTTCCCCAGACTAGTTTGAATAGGTAACTCTTTTCAAATGCTGAATATGTTTGGACATGCTGATCAATGGGTAATTACAATTTATAATTATTGTAACCATATAAGGGATCTTTAGATAATACCAAAACATGAAGGAAGGAAATAGAAAGTACTTACAAATATTAATCCTGATATCAATGAAGATGTCCCTGTAAGTGCCACATAGAATTTGGGTGTCAGTGAATTTAAAAATACAGTCACTGTCAAAAGAACAAGAATTAAAGTTTTTAAAAAATGCAAATTTAAAGTACTTAGGTTACAAATGTGCAAGTATCTTTATGAGTGGTGAGACTTAAGTAGTATTAATATCTAGTGTGAAATTCACTTGAAAAAGTTTTGATTTGTATATATTATACATAATGGCTTATATATATTAGTAATATCTGCAACAAATCAAATGAGGTTGCAAATGAGGTGTTTTTTTAACTTGCTTTTGAGAATAAAACTAACCGGGCGCAGTGGCTCACCCCTGTAATCCCAGCACTTTGGGAGGCTGAGGCGGGCAGATCACCTGAGGTTGAGAGTTCAAGACCAGCCTGACCAACATGGAGAAACCCTGTCTCTACTAAAAATACAAAAAAAATTAGCTGGGCATGGTGGCACATGCCTTTAATCCAAGCTACTCAGGAGGCTGAGGCAGGAGAATCGCTTGAACTTGGAAAGTGGAGGCTGCAGTAAGCCAAGATCAAGCCACAGCACTCCAGCCTGGGCAAAAATAGCGAAACTCCATCTCCGGCGGGGATGGGGGCGGGGTGGGGAGAGACTAAAACTAAAGCACTTATAAGTCATAATTTAGACAAGAACTTCTGCAAGTTTGTAAAAATAAGAAGCTAAACAAACATGCTTTTACAAAGGAGGTTCAAAACTACTCCATAATTATTTTGGTAAGATACAAAACCACAGTCTCAAATTAGAGGGACAGTGTATGTATTTGTTATGCCAGCTAGAGAGGCAAAATGGCTCAAAGAGAAAAACAACAAACAGAAATCTCCCTCACTTACTGAAATCCTGGAGCAGATTTTTCACTTCAAATAATTCTCTCATAAATACTGTGGGTTTTAGAAAGAAATAAAAACCTGGCCAGCTAGGATGGCTCACTCCCATAATCTCAGAGTTTTGGGAGGGTAAGGTAGGTGGATCGCTTGTAGTCAGGAGTTCAAGACCAGCCTGGGCAAATAAAAGAGACCCAATCTCTATACAAATATAAAACTCAGCCAGCCATGGTGGGGCATGCCTGTAGTCTTAGCTACTTGGGAGGCTGAGGCTGGAGGATTGCTTGAGCAAAAGAGTTCAAGGCTGCAGTGATCTTGCCACTGAACTCCAGCCTGGGTGACAGAGGGAGATTGTCTCACAAAAAAAAAAAAAAAGAAAGAAAAGAAAAAAAATCTATAATCAACTATTCTTATTAAATGTTGTAATGGTTAATGTGTAGAAAAATAACAGACAAATCAATCAGTAACACTGTGCATATTAACCATAGTTATGCAATTCACCTGTTACAGAGATGCCAAATTAGCACTTCAGTTTAGCTTTTTTTTTTTTTTTAAAGACGGCGTTTGACCATGTTGGTCAGGCTGGTCTTGAACTCCCGACCTCAGGTGATCCGCCTGCCTTGGCCTCCAAAGTGCTTGGATTACAGGCGTGAGCCACCGCGCCCGGCCTCAGTTTAGTTTATTTTAGTGTGCAAGTTATATCTGAACTTAATCATACCTATCCTCTAAAAAAGCCCAACTATTTCCGAACATTACCTCACAGTCTTTCATGTCATCTCTGGAACAGGAAAGGGGACATTTGCTGCCTTTTGCCACAAAAATCAACCACTGTACTGAATCATGTAACAGAAAGACTTCCATCCTGTTCTGAGGTTGTTGCTCAGACTTTGCGTGAAATATAATCACACGGTAAGAGGACCTGGGCCCTCAACACTTCATCCTATCTACAACTAAAGAATAGGACATCCAGTAACAGTTTGAATGAGAAAGAAAAGAAAAAAAAAAAAGAATAGTACAGTATATAAAAATCCATCAGGATCATCACTTCTTACATGTCTTTGTATTTTCAGCAAAGACTACATAGCAAGTGCTCTACAGATGCTGAAAGAACTAGCAAACCCACTGCTGTTTGTGGTGCTGTCTCATTTCCTGTACTATTTTATTAGTCAAGATAAGCCTAAAAGAACAGACAAAAATATCAGGAAAACTATTTCTTAACCGAACTATTTTAAAACAAGAGAACGGTCAATTAAAATCATGCCATTTTCTTTCTTTGAAATCTTTAAACTACAGATGTGCTCATCTTCCTGGTCCGGGTGTGAGTTCTCTCAGCTGGGCGGGACTCAAAGTGATGACTTTGAAGGGATCCTACCAGTGGTGGGGCTGTACAGAAATTATGTATCCTAATCTGAGAATGCACTCTTGTGCCCTCATACCTGAAGCTTACAGTTTGTCAGGTGGCTTTTCCACGGAAAAAACGAGGACAGAAGAGAGAGGGCGGACCTTAGGAGTTGTAGGGAGGAGCCAGCCGGTAGCGGCAGCAGGTTTGACAATCAACTGCAAGGTTGCAGCCCAAAAGAAAAAGAACGCACTTGGTCACGCATCGTCGACTCCTCAGAGTCATAACTACCGAGAATGTCTGCCCTTTGGCTCTTGCCCACAACACCTTTCCTGGCCCCCAGCCCTGCCCCAGAGGGTCCGGTCCGCTCACCCGCTGCCAAATTCTCACACAGCCTCAAAGGGATCCTCAGAGCGTAAAGCAGTCCCAGTCCCGCCACGAACCACAACGAGGCCCCAGTCCCCGCCAATCTGGCCCGCAGTCGCTCCCTCCAGCCCAGAGTCGGATTTAGGCCGAGAACAAGTGCAGGACACGTTCCAGCAGCCTCGGCTTCCGCCAAACAACCAGGGTCCGCCATCTTGCCGCTACCGCAGGCCCCGGGAGCTGGGAGGGGAGGACAGGAAACCGGGAGTCGGGAATCCTGGGATAGTGGCGGACCTTCAGTTGGTCTCTGTGAAGGCTGAGTCCTGGGGAACCGGGACCGAGAAGATTTCGAAGGTGGAGGAGCGTGTCCCAAGATTGGGACTACATATTCCTTCGTGGGGCAGGGAAGGGGCGGACAGCAATGCCTGTTCTGGAGGACTGGACTGAGATGTGACCCCAAAGTGAAGTGTTAACTGCTTCCAAGCGAGATGAGCGTCACCTTTCACACCCCTGCCCCCCCCCCCCGGGGTTGGAAAAGCCACGGATCGTTCCAACGGCCGAGCAGCTCTTAGAGCTTTGGACTCGGTTGTCAGGAAGATAAACGGGTACCGGAAAAACTTATAGAAGCAGCAATAGCTACTTGGATGGAGGCCAGGAGCCAAGAAAAATGGAAACACGCTGCCAGCGCCCATCAGATGGATGAGAAATGAGAAAGATATTAGACTTCAGATCGCCGAAGGCAAAGCTGACTTCCTAGGGCGCTGGCGCTAGGAGACGTCACCCCCGCGCATAACTGACATGGCGCCCTCTTGGTCGGCGTTTCCGGGCGGGTCCTTCCGACGGCCCCCGCGGTGATTCCATCACTCGGCTTCCTTCCCGGCCTGCCTCGCGCCCGCAGCCGGGCTGGGCCAGAACAGCCCAAGATGGCCGACTTCGATGATCGTGTGTCGGATGAGGAGAAGGTAAGGGGTGTCCGCCTCTTTCTCTTACCTCCTCCCGCGACAGGGAACAGGGGCCCGGCCGGGATGCGTTGGGAGCCTGGCAGTGTCTCCAGGAAAAAGAAACTTCTTGGCCCATGCTGACATACGCTCTCCGCAGTCGGGACGCTTCCCTTTTGCGGGGCTTTCCTCTGCCTCACGGTGGCCCCAGTTCCTCGTTCCTCGACTCTCCTTTCCTCCCGGGCCTAAGGCACAGCCCAGGGGCCTCCCTGCAAGGGAACAGACGTTTCCTTTATTGGATGGTGACTGTGGACTTTGTTCTGTAATCCTGAGCGGGGGTGACGGTTGTGTTGCGCCATACCATAAAGCAGTTGTTTTACCGCCTTTAGCAGTTGGGGCTCACCCCATCCCCCCATTTGTAGATACAAGTGGGGTTAGTTTAGGGCCAGTCACTTCCTGATCAGGATGGCCTCTTAACTTCCCTTTTGCTCCTCCTTCCTCAGGAAGTGATTTTGCTGTCACGACTCCTCGACAGAGAGAGGTCCCAAATGTCCACCTCACTACACATCCACTACTTTTTCTCACGTACTGTCGCCTGACTGATTCGATGTAATCTGTGAGCCTCAGGGCCTTTGCTTCAGAATTCGAACACCAGTCTTTCCCTGTAGACACATCCTTTTAACGATAATTTTTGAAAATTTTGTTTCTTGTTAACAAATCTAGAATCGCTGATGGATTTTCTTCGCCTCCAGAAAGGTTTTCTGTTAACACATAATAAACCTCATGTTAACACATTCAAGTCTGGACAAAGCATCCTGTCTTCTTTGATGCTCCACTGTGGAGTCTGATTAGTTGAATTTGTCAGTGTGCAATGTGTATACTGATTTCTTGAAAATTGTCTCAAATACAAGAGCACATTCTAAGTTAGGTGGACTAACTTTTCTTCTGACAGTTGCACAGTTTCATAACAGTTTGTCAGGTTTTTCAGTAAGTACATGATTTTAGGGCACATAGAACTTAGAGTGGATCTCACAAGACAACTTATTGCGCAAGAATTATTACATTTGTCTCGCACTGTGGCTATTAGAAAATGTGCCCCCTTGAGTACTCTGTAAATCCACCTGGATCTTTTTTAATAAGAAATTGGAATGGGGAGGGGACTGTTAAGATCCATAAGACCTCTGTACAAAATAACTTGATCAGCTACATATGGCATGCCATTTTAAAATGCTTAACAAGCCATCGAACAACAACAGCATTAGATTTTCTCTTATTTGGAAACCGATCTTCATAAATGTTTAAGATTTAGGACAAAAACAAAAACATTTATATATGAGCTTAGGCTGGAAATCAATCTATAATAAATTGTTCTAAAGGAAATAGTTAACAATTCAAATAAAAGTAAGCAAAAATACTGTTTCAGTAAAATTTCACAGTTTTTTTTTTTGAAACAAAGCGTTGCTCTGTCACCCAGGTTGAAGTACATTAGTGCAATCTTGGCTTGCTGCAACTTCTGCCTCCCGGGTTCAAGTGATTCTCCTGCCTCAGCCTCCCAAGGAGCTGGAATTACAGGCTTGCGCCACCATGCCCATTTAATTTTTGTATTTCTTGTAGAGACTGGGTTTCGTCTTGTTGCCCAGGCTGGTCTCCAACTCTTCGGCTCAAGCGATCCATCCACCTCAGCCACCTAAAGTGCTGGGATTACAGGCTTCGGCCACTGCACCCAGCCAAAATTTCACAAATAATTTGAATAATAAACTTTTCAGTTTATTGTGCCTTTGTGGTACACATTGACCAGTGTTGTTGGATTTTTGTCTTTGATACCAGGTTAGAATGCCTTTAATTAAACTTGGGAAAATATATTTTTTAAAGTGCCAATTAAGATGCCTTTAGATACTGACAGTGTTTTAATTAATAACGTTAATAGTCTTGGGTTGTTTTTATTTTGAGACAGAGTCTCATACTGTCACCCGGGCTGGATTGCAGTGGCATGGTCTCAGCTCCTTGCAACCTCTGCCTCCTGGGTTCAAACAATTCTCCTGCTGCAGCCTCCAGAGCCTGGGATTACAGGTGCATGTAATCCAAAACCTGGGATTACAGGTGCATGTAATCCAAAACCTGGGATTACAGGTGCCTGCCACCATGTCCAGCTAATTTTTGTATGTTTAGTAGAGACAGGATTTCACTGTGTTGGCCAAGCTGATCTCAAACTCCTGACCTCATGATCCTCTCACCTCGGCCTCTCAAAGTGCTGGGATTACAGACAGATGTGAGCTACCGTGCAGGTCCAGTCTTGGTTTGATAATAGCAGGTCTGGGACCAGTTTCCTCTTCTAGCATACTTCTTTTGTTGCCAAATATATGTCATTATTGCTTTTTATCTTTGTTACATTTTCTAAAGGCAGTAAACCTTTAGAAAATTTGGTGATAATGAATGGACTCTAATTTCCTTATAAATATTTCTGTAAAAGCTAGTAAAATCATCCATTCTCATAACTAACCACTGAAGTTTTTTTTTTAGTCACTTTATAAAGAGGAAGTTGGGTTTCGTTACCTGAAATGGTCATGATGAGCTGTCTAAATAAAACAGGAAGTTGAACGTGTAATAACTTTTAGAAATAAACGTTTTAGTTCTCTTTGAGTTCACAGTTTCTGAAAATGAACTTGAGCTTTTTAGTTACATGCTTAGCAAGACCAAGATACCATAACTAGGAAGCCTGAAATACGAGATGAACTACTTCTTTGGGTTCTTTTCATTGTTTTTCATTGTCTGTTTCCTTTATTTCATGATTCAACATCTGTAAAACATAAAAGCAAAGAGAATTTTAGAGCTGAAAAAGTGTGATTGGCATATTTTTTCCCTTCAGCCTAACTAGTAGAATTTTTGTGTGCAGTTTCAAAAATATGGTAATTGAGAAGTCAGGCTTTCAGTTTAGACAGTGCTCTCAATAATAAGATAAAGTTTTCAGTATTAAGAAAAACTGCTTTCAGTTTAGACAGTGGTAGCAGTTTTAAGGCATTTTTGAGAAACAGGTTTATCAAAATTATTTAGCAGAGCTGTAGAAAATGTTGTGAATAGATGAAATGTGAGGGCTCTGTTAGAACACATGAAAAATATTTATACTTTTAAACTGGATTTCCTTGATTTTGTATTATCTCCTTAATTTACTAGTGACATTTGTAGGATAAAGTAAGTCCTAAAGGTTGTTTGGTATGGCTGTTTTCTAACAAAACATCAATTAGTATTAATACTATCATTCTTCCATCTTCACTTTTCAGTTAGCTTTGCTGAGAGGTATTGATATAATCTGTTAACAAATCCTGGGACAGGGATAAAGCCTAATAAGCAGGTGCAAACTCACATGTCCAATCTTTCATTAGTAGTATTGATTTATCATTTCTTCCAGAACACTTAGCTGTTTTATTACAACCAGGCTTAATGCTAAACAAAGTAGTGTAAATTTGACAGAAAATTCAGATACCAGGTTGCTCTGATTATGTAGCCATGCTTTTTTCACTACACTGTTCTTTTCCGTATAGCTGTGGATGAAAAACCAGAGTAGAGGCATTCATTTAGTGGCTTATAAATGAGATATTATGATGTAATGGAAAAGAGTAATTGTGAGTGTTAGATTTGGCCTTTTCCTGTTGTGCTTCTAGCCACCTGTGACTGATTTTGGAAACATCACTTAACCTCTATGAGTGGGCCTCAATTTCCATCTAAAATAGGGAGATAGTGGGGGAACCAGATCAAACCAGCCCAAGAAAACTTCTTAATTAACTTTTTCTTTTTCTTTCTTTCTTTTTTTTTTTTTTTTTTTTTTTTGAGACGGAGTTTCGCTGTTGTTACCCAGACTGGAGTGCAATGGCACGATCTCGGCTCACCGCAACCTCCGCCTTCTGGGTTCAAGCAATTCTCCTGCCTGAGCCTTCCGAGTAGGTGGGACTACAGGCGCGCACCACCATGCCCAGCTAATTTTTTTGTATTTTCAGTAGAGACGGGGTTTCACCTTGTTGATCAGGATGGTCTCGATCTCTTGACCTCATGATCCACCTGCCTCGGCCTCCCAAAGTGCTGGGATTATAGGCGTGAGCCAACGCACCCGGCCTAACTTTTTCAAACTCTAATGAAAAATCTCTGTTTTAAAAATTGAAACACTAAAATGTTCCAGGAGGTTCTAGTTATTATCTGCTTTCCTATATTTGTCTTGATAACACGACTGTGAGTTCCTTGGTAACTGAAACCATGTTTTTTAATCTAATGCCTAGCATAGCGC